AATTGCTACTCCAGCTTTCTTTTGCTTCCCATTTGCGTGGAATATATTTTTCCATCCTCTCACTTTCAGTCTGTATGTCTTTAGGTCTGAAGTGGATTTCTTGTAGATAGCATATAGATGGGTCTTGTTTTGTATCCATTCAGCTGGTCTGTGTCTTTTGGTTGGAGCATTTAATCCATTTACATTTAAAGCAATTATTGATATGTATGTTCCTCTTGCCATTTTCTTAATCGTTTGGGGTTGATTTTATAGATCTTTTTTCTTCTCTTGTATTTCCTGACTATATAAGTCCCCTTAACATTTGTTGTAAAGCTGGTTTGGTGGTACTGAATTCTAAACTTTTGCTTGTCTGAAAAGCTTTTTATTTCTCCATCAATTTCGAATGAGATCCTTGCTGGGTACAGTAATCTTGGTTGTAGATTTTTCCCTTTCAGTACTTTAAATATATCCTGCCATTCCCTTCCGACCTGCAGAGTTTCTGCTGAAATATCAGCTGTTAAGCATATGGGGTTTCCCGCATATGTTACTTTTTGCTTCTCCCTTGCTGCTTTTAATATTCTTTCTTTGAACTATGGACAGAGGTTCATGACATTGTACAGGAGACAATGGGTCAAGACCATCCCTAAGAAAAAGAAATGCAAAAAAGCAAAATGGCTGTCTGAGGAGGCCTTACAAATAGCTGTGAAAAGAAGAGCAGCCAAAAGCAAAGGAGAAAAGGAAAGATATATGCATTTGAATGCAGAGTTCCAAAGAATAGCAAGGAGAGATAAGATAGCCTTCCTCAGTGATCAATGCAAAGAAATAGAGGAAAACAATAGAATGGGAAAGACTAGAGATCTCTTCAAGAAAATTAGAGATACCAAGGGAACATTTCATGCAAAGATGGGCTCAATAAAGGACAGAAATGGTATGGACCTAACAGAAGCAGAAGATATTAAGAAGAGGTGGCAAGAATACACAGAAGAACTGTACAAAAAAGATCTTCATGACCCAGATAATCACGATGGTGTGATCACTCACCTAGAGCCAGACATCCTGGAATGTGAAGTCAAGTGGGCCTTAGAAAGCATCACTACGAACAAAGCTAGTGGAGGTGATGGAATTCCAGTTGAGCTATTTCAAATCCTGAAAGATGATGCTGTGAAAGTGCTGCACTCAATATGCCAGCAAATTTGGAAAACTCAGCAGTGGCCACAGGACTGGAAAAGGTCAGTTTTCATTCCAATCCCAAAGAAAGGCAATGCCAAAGAATGCTCAAACTACCACACAATTGCACTCATCTCACACGCTAGTAAAGTAATGCTCAAAATTCTCCAAGCCAGGCTTCAGCAATACGTGAACCGTGAACTTCCAGATGTTCAAGCTGGTTTTAGAAAAGGCAGAGGAACCAGAGATCAAATTGCCAACATCCGCTGGATCATCGAAAAAGCAAGAGAGTTCCAGAAAAACATCTATTTCTGCTTTATTGACTATGCCAAAGCCTTTGACTGTGTGGATCACAATAAACTGTGGAAAATTCTGAAAGAGATGGGAATACCAGACCACCTGACCTGCCTCTTGAGAAACCTATATGCAGGTCAGGAAGCAACAGTTAGAACTGGACATGGAACAACAGACTGGTTCCAAATGAGGAAAGGAGTACGTCAAGGCTGTATATTGTCACCCTGCTTGCTTAACTTATATGCAGAATACATCATGAGAAATGATGGGCTGGATGAAGCACAAGCTGGAATCAGGATTGCTGGGAGAAATATCAATAACCTCATATAACACCACCCTTATGTCAGAAAGTAAAGAACTAAAGAGCCTCTTGATGAAAGTGAAAGAGGAGAGTGAAAAAGTTGGCTTACAGCTCAACGTTCAGAAAACTAAGATCATAGGATCCGGTCCCATCACTTCATGGCAAATAAATGGGGAAACAGTGGCTGATTTTATTTTGGGGGGGCTCCAAAATCACTGCAGATGGTGATTGCAGCCATGAGATTAAAAGACGCTTACTCCTTTGAAGGAAAGTTATGACCAACCTAAACAGCATAGTAAAAGGCAGAGACATTACTTTGTCAACAAAAGTCTGTCTAGTCCAGACTCTGGTTTTTCCAGTAGTCATGTATGGATGTGAGAGTTGGACTATGAAGAAAGCTGAGCACCAAAGAATTGATGCTTTTGAACTGTGGTGTTGGAGAAGACTCTTAAGAGTCCCTTGGACTGCAAGGAGATCCAACCAGTCCATCCTATAGGAGATCAGTCCTGGGTGTTCATTGGAAGGACTTATGTTGAAGCTGAAACTCCAATCCTTTGGCCACCTAATGCGAAGTTCTGACTCATTTGAAAAGACCCTGATGCTGGGAAGGATTGAGGGCAGAAGGAGAAGGCAATGACAGAGGATGCGATGGTTGAATGGCATCACCGACTCAATGGACATGAGTTTGGGTAGGCTCTAGTAGTTGGTCATGGACAGGGAGGCCTGGTGTGTTGCAGTTCATGGGGTCGCGAAGAGTCGTACAGGACTGAGCGATTGAACTGAACTGAAGTTTGTGTTTAGTCTTTGTTTGAACAGTATGTGTTTTGGCGTATTTGTCCTTGGGTTTAGCCTGTATGGGACTCTTTGTGCCTCTTGGACTTGATTATTTCCTTTTCCACGCTGGGGAAATTTTCAGCTATCATCTCTTTAAAATTTTCTCATACCTTTTCTTTTTCTCTGCTTCTGGGACCCCTATAATTTGAATGTTCAGTTCAGTTCAGTTCAGTCGATCAGTCATGTCCGACTCTTTGCGACCCCATGAATCACAGCACCCAGGCCTCCCTGTCCATCACCAACTCCCGAAGTTTATTCAAACTAATGTCCATCGAGTCGGTGATGCCATCCAGCCATCTCTATTAGCTTACTCCTTGGAAGTAAAGTTATGATCAACCTAGATAGCATATTAAAAAACAGAGACATTACTTTGCCACCAAAGGTCCGTGTAGTCAAGGCTATGGTTTTTCCAGTGGTCATGTATGGATGTGAGAGTTGGACTGTGAAGAAAGGTGAGCATTGAAGAACTGATGCTTTTAAACTGTGGTGTTGGAGAAGACTCTTGAATTCGAATGTTAGTGTGTTTGATATTGTCCCAGAGGTCCATGACACTCTCCTCAATTCTTTTCATTCTTTTTACTGTATTCTGCTCTCCAGAAGTTATTTTCACCATTTTCTCTTCCAGCTCACTGATTTGTTCTTCTGTTTCAGATATTCTGCTATTGATTCCTTGTAGAGTATTTGTAATTTCAGTAATTGTGTTGTTTGTCTATGTATGTTTATTCTTTAATTATTCTAGGTCTTCGTTAATTGATTCTTGAATTTTCTCCAATTTGTTTTCAAGATTTTTGATCAACTTCACTATCATTATTCTGAATTCTTTTTCAGGTAGTTTGCCTATTTTCTGTTCATTTGTTTGGACTTCTGTGTTTCTAGTTTGTTCCTTCATTTGTGTGGTATTTCTCTGCCTTTTCATTATTTTTTTTCTTTTTAACTTATTGTGTTTGAGGTGTCCTTTTCCCAGGCTTCACGTTTGAATTCTTTTTTCCTTTTGGTTTCTGCCCTCCTAAGGTTGATCCAGCGGTTTGTGTAAGCTTTGAATAGGGTGAGGTTTGTGCTGAGTTTTTGTTTGTTTGTATGTTTTTCCTCTGATGGGCAAGGCTGAGTGAGGTGGTAATCCTGTCTGCTGCTGATTGGGTTTGTATATTTGTTTTTTGTTGTTGTTGCTTAGATGAGGCCTTCTGCACAGGGTGCTACTGGTGGTTGGGTGATGCCTTGTATTCAGGTGGTTTCCTTGGTGTGAGTTCTCACTATCTGACGCTCCCAGGGTCAGCTCTCTGGTGTCTGGGGTCTTGGAGTCAGTGCTCCCACTCCAAAGGCTCAGGGCTTGATCTCATGAAATGGACTGTTGTCACCATAAAATGCCTGTGGCACTGCACACTGTTGCTATTCTCTGGGTTCCAGTAACTCATTGTCAGAAGATTGTTGGCTCAGCATCAAAACCACACTGCTCTGCTCAACTTAGAGTGCTCGAGAGATGGAGGATTCCTCTGAGTCCTCCAGAGTGCTGGCTTGATGGGTTACTGGTCCCTGTAAGTCCAGCTCCAAAACCCTGTGGAGCAGCAGAAAAGCCCCCCAGAAGGGCACTTCTGCACACCAGCCCGTGGAACCCCAGAGACGGGCAGGACAGAATGTTCTGCTGTTTTGCCCGTGAGCTTCTCAGAACTGCCTCCATCAGTGCTGCTAAGAATAGAGGAACTTTGTGGGAACGTTTTTTCTTTTAAGAGGTAATTTTTCTTGCTAAGTATGCCATAAGAAATTGAAGAATGATCTTAATTTCTCATTTTAAAATGACTGTCTTACTGAGCCAGACTGTTTAACACTTCCAAGTTAGAATACATGGATTTGTCAATAAATTTAAAGGTAATAGTAGTCTCCATTACTACTAAGTTGTTTGAGTAATATATTATATTCACATTTTAAATGAATATTGATCTTCATCCAGTGTCTAAATTGGAGCATCTCAATTCTTACGGAATCGCTGATCCTTTTCTACTTTTAGGTATGCAGCCAGACATAAATTCTAGCCAACATTCCATAGAATTTTTTTGTACCCTTACTTCTTCATACAGCACTCTTTGGGCTTCGCAGGTGACGCTAGTGGTTTAAAGAACCCTTCTGCTAATGCAGGAGACATAAGGGACACAGGTTTGATCCCTGGGTCGGGAAGATCCCCTGGAGGATGGCACAGCAACCCACTCCAGTATTCTTGCCTGGAGAATCCCATGGACAGAGGAGTCTGGTGGGCTACAGTCCATAGGGCTGCAAAGAGTTGGACATGACTGAAGTGACTTAGCATGCATGCATGCGTGCATAACACTATTTAAGAAGTAATACTTTTTGCATATTAAAACTGGCAAAAATCAAATGCCTTTAAGGTAACCAACTTAGAATGTATTGCTTTCTGTTTTGTTGTGTCTTGAAGGTACTTGAAGTTTATTGAGTTGCCCTTGTCTGAGAGAAAGTTTTGTCAGAGCTGTCAGCAGTTGCTCTTGCCGGATGATAAGGAGAAGCATCGTGAACATCAGGTAGTGGGTGATGTTTCTATCACCCAGTTAAAAAGGCCCAGTAAACTCCTTTATCCACTGGAAAACAAGAAGACAAATGCCCAGTATTTGTTTGCTGACCGGAGCTGTCTGTTCTTGGTAGACCTGCTCTCGAACCTTGGATTCAGAAGAGTACTGTGTGTTGGGACCCCAAGGTATGTGATAACAGTGTTTTAAAGGCTTCTCCCATCACCACTGTCTAAACTGTAAGAAAATGTAGTGAGTAGTTATTTACTGTATAGAGGGTATAACATACAACCCCAAGTATACAGTATAGTCCTCTGAAGGAGTTTGTAATCTTTATTCCATTCAAGAGAAATCTTTATAGATTTCTGATATATGATAGGAGATTCTGGCTTGATTCCTCAGTTATTTATTATTAATTCTAGAGTTTTCTGTTTTACTATTTAAAAATACTTCAAAAAAAAAAAAGAAAAAAAAAATAAAAATACTTCAAAATTGAAACTTTGCTTATACCTACCAAATTTTCTTCAGTGTTTCATTGAAATGTTAGAACTATCAGGAGACCATTGATGGGTTTTTTGTTTGTTTGCTTGTTACATGTGACATTAGTTGTTTCTTACTAAATTTGCTTTCACTAATTGCTTTAGGTTACATGAGCTGATCAGATTGAAAGAATCAGGTGACAAGAAGTCTAACATTAGAAGTCTTTTATTGGATATTGATTTTCGGTAGGTTTACAAAGTATAATAGTTATTCTCCTTCATTGTGTTCTGTTTCTTTTTAATGTTTTCCTTTTACTAATCCTGTTATAATCCTTTACTTATATAGAAGTAGTAATTGTTTATAAGGTATTTCTTCAGTTAGATAAACTCAACATGTAAAAGTGAAAGTCGCTCAGTTGTGGCTGACTCTTTGCGACCCCATGGACTATACAGTCCGTGGAATTCTCCAGGCCAGAATACTGGAGTGGGTAGCCTCTCCCATCTCCAGGGGATCTTCCCAACCCAGGGATTGAACCTGTTTCCCGCATTGCAGGTGGATTCTCTACCAGCTGACAGGGAGGCAGTAGGCTTTTTGCTAGTCCGCTTCCTGAATTTTTTCTGTGAATGTACCTAGTTGTCTTTGGCTTATAATTTAGACATACATTTCTATTGAGTGAAATTTCTTCTTATATACTTACTTTTCAAGGGTAATTCTGAATTTCCTCTAGGATTTTGTTTTATCATAATGTCTTAAATGTGATAAGATGTGTATTTTAATGTTTTTAATGAAGGATGTGCATACTGTGTTTCACTGGATGAAGCCTGAAGTGAAGGGAGTGCTAACTAGGAAATAGGTCCCGAGGCAGAGGCAAATTAATAAGCAAACAGATAAGCTTTGTGGGAGAGAATCAGAATTAAGCGGCACCTGATATGTTGGAACAAACAGATGAGACAGTGGACCACATCTTGATTCTTTCCTCTGGGGGCAATTGAGGAGATTTTTGATTTACAAATTTTTGATTTACAGCGCAGGATGGCAGATATGTCCATCCACAGGCTCTGATTCTGTAAACTTGTAGTACTCTTCCTAGTTTCTGTAATTGTTTGAATTCCAGGAGTTCATGGTAAGTCTGTGAGATACCATGTCCTTAGTATATTTTTCTTATTCTTGAGTGTATTGAAGGAATCAGTCTTTGAATTTTTTTGGTTTGTTTGTTTAATCTGATAGAACCTATTTGGCCAATATTCCAGTAGTTGTGTTATCTCTAGTATTACTCAGATTCTCTGTGAAATTACATATGCTTTTTCTCCCTAAAAACAAGGCAGACAGAATTTTAAAGTGTAGAAGTCACATTAAAAAGTACAGCTTTCATCATTTATTTTTCTTTAGATTTCCAAGTCAGCTTTGGGTTATCTACTGTAAGCATGTACGTGTCTCAGAAATAACCCGCATTTTCTACAACTCTCATTCCTTATTAACAAGACAAGCACACATTTTATAAATACCTGTTTGATGTTAGTAATCTTTGGGAAAATGGAATTCCATGAGTGATAATACAGACTTCTTCTTAAAGATAAACTCAATTTCTTTTTTAAAATTGAGATATAACTCATTTAAAATAGACCATTTTAAAGTGTGTATTTCAGCAGTTTTTGGTATATTCACTGTTTTGCATCTGCAATCTATCACCCATAACTCCAGAATATTTTTAATCACACTAAAGAGAAACTCCTTACTTCTCCTGATAAGTGCCTTACTTATCCTGATAAGCGTCAGTCTTCTTTCTTTCATCCAGATTTGTCTCTTCTGGATATTTTATATAAATGGAATCATACAATATATGACCTTTGTGTCTGACCTTTTTCACTTAGCATAATGTTGTCAAGATTCCTCCATGTCAAGCATATAAGTGTACTTCCTTTTATGACTGTATACTATTCCATTGAGTAAATATATCAATTTCTTTTTTAACTACCTTGTTTATTTCCTAAAGTATTATTAAATTATTAATAAAAGTATTATTTTAAAGGTAGAAATTTAACTTTTAAGTTCTTATAACATGAAATATTAACTATAACATATTTAGTAAATGCTTGTCACATGTCAAACCCTATTCTAAATTCTTTGGTTCCCATAATAGCCCTCTAGGATAGATGCTATTAACATTCTCCTTTCCTCAGAATAGAAAACTGAGGTACAAAGAAATTAAGTATCTTGACCAAAGTCACAGTTACAATTGTCCTATGGTAATTCTATGTTTAAATTCTTGAAGGACTCCCAAACTGTTTCCCAAGGTGACTGCACTGTTTTTCTTTCCCAACAGCAATATATGAGAGTTCCAATTTCTTCGCATGCTCATGAACTCTTACTTACTGTCTGTCTTTTTGAAATAGTGGCTCATTGTGGTAATGTTGTTGAGTACCTTTTCATGAATTTATGACCAATTGTTTATCTTTTTGGAGAAATGTCTATTCAGTCATTTGCTCAATTTTTAAAATTGATTATTTGTCTTATTGTTGAATTGAAAGAGTATTTAATGTATTCTGGGTACTAGACTCCTATCAGATATATAATTCATAAATGTTTTCTCTCATTCAGTGGGTTGTCTTTTCACTTTTATGTAGTCAAAAGTTATTCTCTTGTCTTTGGTTGCTTGTGTTTTAGGTGTCATACCAAGAAACTATTACCTAGTCTAAAAGCATGAATATTTACACTTGTTTTCTTCTAAGAGTTTTTAATTTTTAGTTCTTACATTTAGTTAATTTTGAGTTAATTTTTTAGTATGATGTGAGGTAGGGGTCCAGTTTCATTCGTTACATGTGGATATCCAGTTGCCTTTGCACCATTTGTTTAGATGATTATTCTTTTCCCATTGAATGCTCTTGGAACCTTATTGAAAACCATGTGGCCATATATCTGTGCATTTATCCTTAAATTCTATTCCATTTATCTGTGTCTGTCCTTATACCAGGCCCATGCAATCTTTTTTTTTTTTTTCATTTATTTTTATTAGTTGGAGGCTAATTACTTTACAATATTGTAGTGGTTTTTGTCATACATTGACATGAATCAGCCATGGATTTACATGTGTTCCCCATCCTGAACCCCCTCCCACCTTCCTCCCCATCCCATCCCTCTGGGTCATCCCAGTGCACCAGCCCCGAGCCCTTGTCTCATGCATCCAACCTGGACTGGTGATCTGTTTCACCCTTGATAATATACATGTGTCGATGCTGTTCTCTCAGATCATCCCACCCTCGCTTTCTCCCGTAGAGTCCAAAAGTCTGTTCTTTATATCTGTGTCTCTTTTTCTGTCTCACGTATAAGGTTAACGTTACCATCTTTCTAAATTCCATACATATGTGTTAGTATACTGTATTGGTGTTTATCTTTCTGGCTTACTTCACTCTGTATAATGGGCTCCAGTTTTATCCATCTTATTAGAACTGATTCAAATGTATTCTTTTTAATGGCTGAGTAATATTCCATGGTGTATATGTACCATAGCTTTCTTATCCATTCCATGCAATCTTAATTGTTGTTTTGTAGTGAGTTTTGAAATTGGGAAGTGTGCATCTTTCAACTTAATTCTTTTCCAAGATTATTTTGGCTATTGTGGGTTTACTGCATTTCTGTATGAGTTTTATAATTACCTACTCAGTTTTTGTAAAAGCTAGCTGAGCTTTTTATAGGAGTCACACTGAATTTGTAGATCAATTTGAGGGGTTGTTGTTTAGTTACTAAGTCGTATCCAACTTGTTTGTGACCCCGTGCACTATAGTCCACTGGGCTTCTCTGTCCATGGGATTTCCCAGGTAAGAACACTGGAGTGGGTTGCTGTGTCTTTCTCCAGGGGATCTTCCTGACCCAGAGGTGGAACCCACATCTTTCTATCTTAAGTGTTCTGTTTCATGAATGTGAGCTATCTTTCCGTTTATTTAGCTCTTCTTTCATTTCTTTAAACAAGATTTTGTAGTTTTCAGTGTACGGGACTTGCACTTCTTCTGTTAAATTTAATCCTAAACACTTCATTCTTTCTGTTGTTTTTGTAAATTAAATTTTTAAAAAATTTTATTTTGTGTTGTTCATTGCTCATGCCCTGATTTACTTGTTTTTTTTTTAATTGCAATAAAACAAACATAGCATAACATTTACCATGTTAGCCAGTTTTTTAAGTATACCGTTCAGTAGTGTGGCGTAAGTGAGGTATATTCACATCAGTATGCACTGTCCTCCAAAACACTTTCTTGCATCTTATCTGATTTAGCTTTATTTTTTTTTTAAGTTAATCATTGTAACATCAGTTTTTAAAACATTGCTTAAAAAGAAATTCTAAGTCTTATTACTGGTTTACTTTTAACTTGAAAGATTTATATTGTGCTTTACAAACTCTTTTGCCTTAAATGCCATACCTTGCAGTTTCACCTTTCTTGAGCCTATAGTTAAATCTCCTGGTCTGAGTAGGGAGTAGGTGATGTAGATAAAGTTGTTTTATAACCTATGGAACACACAGATGGCTTTTTCTTTCTGTGTCTGCAAACCTCTGAGTGTGTTGCTAACAAAAGCTGAAGGTATTGAACTGTGGTCTCCTGGCTTAGCTTCTTTGATAGCTACTCTATTTTTGAGTCAGTTCTGTAAAAGGTCAACATTGAGTGCTAAGAGAGAGCCGGTTTAATTGAAATACTAGTTACTAGTCAGAATGAACTCTGCCTGTTGCCTGTATTTACATTGTGATGGAGTGTGGGGTTAGTCCACAGTTTTCGCAGAGACCACGATGAAATCAGGGAAACATTTCTGTGTAGTATAGTGTGGCAGTAGATAGTTCTTTGGCACTTTGCATTTGGCTTGTTGTTGTCCTACAGAAGGTCTGTGCAGAGCTGCAGAGAACTACCTCAACTCTAGGGCTCTGTGTATATGCGCTGTAACTGCTCTTTGCTTTCGTTCCCTCCTTCCTTCCTTCTGTTTTTGCCTGCACTGGGTCTCTGAGTATGGGCTTCCTCTAGTTGCAGCAAATGGGCGTCCTATTGCAGTGGCTTTTCTCGTAGCAGAGCACAGGCTCTAGAGTGCAGGCTGAGGTGTGGCTTGCAGTCGTAGTTGCCTTGTAGCATGTCAAATCTTCCTGGACCATGGACAGAATCCATGTCCCCTGCATTGGCAGGTGAGTTCTTAACCACTGGGCCACCAGGCAAGTCCAAAATGTCCATTTCTGAGCATCTAAGATATGAACTTCTTAAAGAGATGGAATACCAGATCACCTTACCTGTCTCTTGAGAAATCTTTATGCGGATCAGGAAGCAAGCGTTAGAACCGGACATAGAACAGTGGACTGGTTCAAAACTGGGAAAGGCGTATGTCAAGGCTGTATACTGTCACCTTGGTTATGTAACTTATATGCAGGATACATCATGCGAAATGCCAGACTGGATGAATCTCAAGCTAGAATCAAGACTGCCAGGAGAAATATCAACAACCTTAGATGTGCAGTTGATACCACTGTATAATGGCAGAAAGCGAAGAGGAACTAAAGAGCCCCTTGATGAAGGTGAAAGTGGAGAGTGAAAAAGCTGGCTTAAAACTCAGCATTCAAAAAAAGAAGATCATGACATATAGTCCCATCACTTCACAGCAAATAGATGGGGGAAAAGTGGAGACAGTGACAGATTTTATTTTCTTGGCCTCCAGAATCACTACAAACAGTGACTACATGAAATTAAAAGATACTTTCTTCTTGGAAGAAAAGCTATGACAAACCTAGACAGCATTTTAAAAAGCAGAGATATGTTTGCTGACAAAGGCCCATATAATCAAAGCTATGTTTTTTCAGTAGTCATGTATGTATGAAAGTTCGACCATAAAAAAGGCTGAGTGCCACAGAACTGATTCTTTTGAATTGTGGTGCTGGAGAAGACTCTTGAGGGTCCCTTGGAGAGCAAGGAGATCGAACCAGTCAATCCTCAATATTCATTGGAAGGACCGATGCTGAAGCTGAAGCTTCAGTACTTTGGCCACCAGATGCAAAGAGCTGACTCACTGGAAAAAGACCATGATTTTGGGAAAGACTGAGGGCAGGAGAAGAAAGGGCTGACAGTGGAGGAAATGGTTGGATTGCATCACGGACTTGATGGATATGAGTTTGAGCAAAGTCCAGGAGATAGTGAAGGACAGTGAAGCCCGGCATGCTAGAATTCATGGAGTCACCAAGAATCAGATGCGACTTAGCAAGTGAACAACAAAGAAAAAGAAGATATGAAGTTAACATTTGCTAAGATGGATTTCTGTATGCTCCAATTTTAGCATGAAAGATGTGAAATTCTGTTTGGCAAACTACATCCAAATAAAGTTATATCAAAAAGCTGAATTTCTTAGGTTCATTTCGTGAACTAATTTTATTCAGCTCTTGATTACATTTCCTGTGTGTAGAACATGTTTCATACTTGGTAACTGGTTCTTATTTAAAGAGAATGAATGGCCAAATTAAATGGATGTCCTTTTGAGCAGTTTTCAAGTGTATGCATTTCTGATTGGTTTTGTTTGCCTTATTCAATGGAGAGAATAATTTTTGTGGCAAATTTCATTTTAAGAGGGTAATGTTGAGTGATTTTTTGTAATTTGAAATATGAATAATTATGCTCTCTTATTTGTGTTTGATGGAAGCTTAGAGCTGAAACCTTGGCTTTTTTCTCTCTCTAGCTCTGCCCACTGCTGCTGAGAACATTTTGGACAAGTGTGCTGTGCTGAATTTTTGTAAATAACATTTTCTTTTTTAATTAAAAAAAAAGACCTATTGCGTTATGAAGCAGTGAAAAAAGTGGAGGGCGGTAGAAATACATTTAAAAAGGGATTGTATTTTTCCCTTGCTCACAAAAAGCAGTGCAAGGGAGAACACCTCAGTGATGGTTGATCTACAGCTGTACTCGTCTTAATGTATATGTAAATTAATAATTAATATGGATATATTATCAGCTATTTGGGATTTGGTTAAAGAGGAAGACATTTGTTAAATAATGGTAATTGACATTGTCCCATAGTTTCTGGGGTGTTCCTTAGGTTACAGTGTATAGTTTAAATATTTTCAGTTATTTAAGCCTTCTGTTTATTTCTTCAGTTTAAATTTATGTCAGCAGATGTACTAACAGTATCTTAAATGATATTAAGGGATATTGTATTGAGAATGGTGAACAGATGTTCTTCTGTCTCCACAGAATAAGAGGAAATGGGTTTAGATTACAGGAGGAGAAATTTTGGTTGGACATAAACCTAATTCCTTAATATTAGAGACATTGAGACATAAATCTTTATAGCCGGTATTTATTTAAATAATGATACCTGAAATCTCAGTATATGCTTTATAGCTGGCATTGTATTAAGCACTTTACATAATTATCTTATGTATTCTCACCTAGTCCTATAGGGTAGAAATCATTTTCTCATTTGGCAGATGAAGAAACTGGGGCTCAGATAGGTAAAATAATTTACTAAAGTTATATAGCTGGTAACTGAGAAACTTAAGAGTTTGAAACCTTGCCCCCTGACTGTGGAGCTGTACTCTTAGTTACAGTGTAACAGAAAGAGGATAAACTAGGCTTGTCCATTGTATTAAATACTCAACATGGTTGGTGATCGTGCAGATGGTATTAAATAACTGTGAGTAGAAGCAAAGAAGTGCCACGGTCATGATTTGGTTAAAGAAGTTGTATAAGTAAGTATGTGTCCATGATTTTTTTCAGTCTTTCCACTAGCTTATGTGTTCTGTAGAAGGATGGCGTGGTCCTGTGTGAATTGTTTTTGACAAACTGTGCAAGTTCAGAATCCTATTGAGATGAAAGAGGTTTCTATATTACACAAAGAAGTCACAAGAAAGACATTAAGACCCATGGACATAGATAGGGAAAACAGAGGTAGGCAGTACAAATAAAATTAAGGAAGAAAGAAGTTTCAGTTTTGTAAGAAATCTAGTAAATGCAAGTTTAAGCCATAAATGTGGTATGAATTTTGCCTAGTAAATTAGCAGAAATTATAATGTGTTAATACCCAAAGCTGGTGTTCCCATTCATTAGTGATTGCATTTTAAAGTAGTATGTTAGAAGAATAAAATGATTCAATCAGTAAATAAATATCCTCTTTCCTGGCACTAATTCAGTAAATATGAAATGCACATAAATTCTTTTTCTTATGTATTAAGAAGCATATTTTATTAAGCTAATTTGCAATAGACAAGAAAAACTCTGTATTAAATACCTTTTTTGTTAGCCACAGAAGAAAATAACAGCTGTTGAGCAGAAATGTTGATTCAGTATTTTCTTTAAAATTAATAACTATGAGAGACACATTTTAACTGCCAACCCAACTCAAGCTTAAAATGCATAATAATCTATCAGGAACATAATTATTTATTTATAATCTTCTGGTCCATAGGAATATGTGTGTTTTTTATATATGAGTTTTCTGTAGTTTTCCCACTGGCTTATTAAACTTAGGACCATAATCTAAGTTTGTTATTCATCCACTATTGTTAGCTTCTTGAGGTTTGTGGAAAGTATTCTTTATTTCAGAAACCTGAAGGACGATGAAATTGATTTTATTTAAGGTGTGATTTCATAATTTTAAAATTTAGTTTACATTTATTTACTATATAAGCTGTGACCAGACAAGTAACTACAGTAATAAATTATTTTACAGGTATTCGCAGTTTTATATGGAAGATAGTTTTTGCCATTATAATATGTTTAACCATCACTTCTTTGATGGAAAGGTAAGAGTTATGACCAATATCTCTTTCTTCTTTTCTTGTATTTCCTTCATTATTTTTCTACAGTCCCTCAAGAGCAAATGGTGGCTGTTCCTCCATTGATTGATATTTACTTTTGTTTGTTCACTGAGTGTTATCGAGCATCTAGGGGTGATCATGTTATTCACCTTTCATGCTTTTCACTGTTTCTTGGGTAAAGACCTACTTTCTCAGCAAGACCCATCTAGCTTTGTGTGATTTGACCCTGCCGCCCTCCGGGCCTGTCTTCTCTCCATTCCTGCTTTGCCGTTTGTATCCAGGACATATGACATTCGTCTCAGCCTGGCCTTTCCATCACAGGGGCTTTTGCCATGCTGTTCCCTCCTTCTTCTGCTCCTTCTTTGCCCTGTTAATTTCATCTCATCCTTCAGAACCCTGTTCCAAGTTCCTTTCTCCAGCTTCCCCTACCCTCAGACAAGGTCAGGTTCTCCTTTGTAGATTTATGATACTGTAATTAAATAATTCTGTGGTTAGTTGTTTGATGTCTTCCTCTCTGATAAATTTCATGTCCCAGTTAAGGGGATTTATGGTTTTATTAAACTAATCCTTAAAAAATAAGACAGTGTCAAGAGTTAACCCCAATCTATGAATTCTAGGTGATAATGATGTGTCAGTTTAGGTTCATCACTTTTAACAGATGTCCCACTCTGGTGGGGGATATTGGTAATGGGGGAGGGGTAGGAACAGGGGGTATGTAGGATATCTTTGAACCTTCCTCTCAGTTTCACCGTAAACTTAAAACTGCTCTTAAAAATTAGCCTTAAAAAAAGGAGAGTGGCTTAAAAAAAACCTTCTTTCAGTATGTTGTTAATAATGACCTTGTGAATAAACAACATAGCAAGAACTGATATTTCTACTCCTGTTTTGAACTCTGTGTTAGTCCCATTACAAAATAAAATCTGTAACCAGCCAAGTAATCATAACTGACAGGAGGCTGGCCAAAAATATTTGAAATTATCAAGACTACCTGCAGCATATCCACACATGTGCTGTGTGTAGTTGCTCAGTTCTGTCCAACTCTTTGTGACCCCATGGACGGTAGCCCTCCAGGCTCCTCAGTCCACGGGGATTCTCCAGGCAAGAATACTGCAGTGGGTTGTCATGCCCTTCTCCAGAGGATCTTCCCAACCCAGGGATCAAACCCAGGTCTCCCGCACTGGAGGCAGATTCTTCACTCTCTGAGCCAGCACCAGGGAAGCCCAGGAATACTGACTGGAGCGGGTAGCCTGTCCCTTCTCCAGGGCATCTTCCCAACCTGGCATTGAACTGGACGTCTCCTGCATTGCAGGTGTATTCTGTACCAGCTGAGCTATAGGAGAAGCCCATGTCCATGCATATATGCATATATATATACTTTTAAAAAATGGTGAACTGTGCTTAAGTATATATTGTGCTTTAAGATATTAACTGACAGACTGAAAACCAAGAAGACCAAAAGACCTCTGCATTTAGGAAATGAAACTAGATTCTAAATTGTTGGTTGGGATTGAAAAGTGAGTCTCCAGATTGAGTAGGTATAGCCAAGGATGTACTCCTCCCATCAGAATCAATTTAGCTTTGGGATACACGTTCTTCAGCAGTGAGAGCTATGAAAACCAAGTACTGAAGTAAATAGCAGTTACAATTAGATGTGTTTCACTGTTTCCTGAAGGGCTTATGTGGTTGATAATCACCAGAATTTGAGGACTGATTAGATGAGCTCTAAGGAGAACAAGAAATTGAAAAATCACTTGAGAGGAGGTGAAAAGGGGCTCAGACAGAGTAGGAAAAGGAAAGAAGCGGGTTCAGAGTACCTCACTGGTGGAGACCAGCAGACTTGGTGTAATTACTGTGTGTACACATGTCAATTATACCTCAATAAAAAAACAGATGACTTGGTGATATGTGTGCTGGGGAAGAGGCCAAAGATACCATGGGGCCATGACCTGGGTTCATCTTTCATTCTTCAAAACACAGAGTGGGGAAGTTTGTAAGTGACATTTGGAAATGTTGAGTTTGTGGGGCTGGCAGAACATGGACATGCAAGGGTCCAGGGTGGCCTCTTGGCACTGTGGGGCCTTGAGCTCAGGGGTGCTGTCAGCGCTAGTGACACAGATGAGGGAGTAGCCGAGCTTCTGATGCTTCAGTAGTGGGTCAGGGATTCATGTTTTTGTTCTTAATACTAGACCATGCAGCCAGAAAGATAAAGACCATTACAGTATACTAACACATATATATGGAATTTAGAAAGATGGTAACAATAACCCTATATGCAAAACAGAAAAAGAGACCCAGATGTATAGAACAGACTTGTGGACTCTGGGAGAAGGCGAGGGTGGAATGTTTCAAGAGAACAGCATCGAAACATGTATATTATCTAGGGTGAAACAGATCACCAGCCCAGGTTGGGTGCATGAGACAAGTGCTCGGGCCTGGTGCACTGGGAAGACCCAGAGGGATCGGGTGGAGAGGGAGGTGGGAGGGGGGACCGGGATGGGGAATACATGTAAATCCATGGCTAATTCATTTCAATGTATGACAAAAACCACTGCAATGATGTAAAGTAATTAGCCTCCAACTAATAAAAATAAATGGAAAAAAAAAAATACTAGACCGTGACTTTGCTTTTTATTTTGAACCATAAAGATGAGTAAAATTACATTTAAATACTTAACAGTTGGCCAGCAATTTTATATATTTCAAGAAAGTAACACATAATTAGCATTTCTCTAGGAAATTCTATGAAAGTTTTATTGCTAGTTTATAGAATTACCTTGCAAGTTTCTAGAATAACCGTTGGAATAAGCTGTAATGACTGAGCTCCATGTTTTCTTTCCTAGAAGAAGACAGTCATCCAAATCAGGCTCTCCTTTCTCTGTGTTTTAGGAGCAGCCTCTAAATAGCACCTGCAGCTGTGGAGAATGATCTGTAGAAAACTATGGTTTAATGATTTTATTGTCTGCCCCTTCTCTGCCTACTTGGAGTCAAGGTTTTCAGTAGAGATTACCATCTAATAATCGATCACTAAAGTATGTAAGTGTCTCCAAGGTGCCTGTCTGTGAAGTGCCTTTGCGGATCTAAGCCTCTGCCACTGCATAGAAGCTCTCCCCAGTTGACTGGATTAAAAAGCAGAAGTTTCCTGTACAGGGTTTTTTTTTCATAGCCACTAATATAGTCTCTCAAAAAATAAAAAATGTCATACACCTTAATGGTTAGGGTGGTTAAAGTGTGTACAGAGGGTGCCTATTTAAAATGCTAGCCACCGAGATGAAGAAAAGGGTTAAGTTATTGTCAACTTTGGTGGCATACGAAGGTTATCTTGTTTCCCGCCTTGTTTCCTAAGGTGATCCACCTTAGGACCCTCAGCCACTCAGAACAGTACACCCCACCATTGATTTCTTACCTGGAAAGGTACTCTTTAATGTTTTTTAAAAATTTTGTTAAGTGTTCAGGCTTTGTTTACTTTTTTTCTTCCCTACTTACAACTTTTAGGGATTTGAAGGCTTTTCAATAACATCGGCTGTAATTTTAGTCCTTGATCATGTAGGCAGGTTAAGGAAGTGCCAGGCAGCACTTGAAAAATGATTAACCTTCTTGACACCATCCTTTGCTGTAGGACTTCCAGGAGGAAGTTAATAAAGACTTTCTTAGAGAAAAGGGATTCAGGTGTTGTGATTTTTCCTTTCTTCAATTGGGTCTTCTAAGTTGATTTAATAGTAGAACAATATATATTTTATTATAAAGTACATATAGGTTTATTAAAGTTTAAATGCCATTAAACTTTAAAATCTTCTACTGTTTTGTATACTAAAAATGTTGATTTGCTTTTATAGATGAGTACTTGAAAGCTACTACAAAGTCAGTAGACCGGAGCTAGTATTATAGGTCTGTCTCTTGTTCATCTTTCCAGAAGCAAAAAAGGGATAAATATACTGGACAGTTTTTAAGGTTAACTTTGCAGTTACTAGTTCAGTTCAGTCGCTCAGTCGTGTCCGACTCTTTGCAACCCTATGGACTGCAGCACACCAGGCCTCCCTGTCCATCACTGGAGTCTATTCAAACTCATGTCCGTTGAGTCAGTGATGCCATCCAACCATCTCATCCTCTGTCGTCCCCTTCTCCTCCTGCCTTCAGTCTTTCCCAGCATCAGGGTCCCTTCAAATGAGTCAGCTCTTTGCATCAGGTGGCCAAAGTATTGGAGCTGCAACTTCAGCATCAGTCCTTCCAATGAATATTCAGAGCTGATTTCCTTTAGAGTGGACTGGCTTGATCTCCTTGTTGTCCAAGGGACTCTCAAGAGTCTTCTCCAACACCACAGTTCAAAAGCATCAATTTTTCCGCACTCAGCTTTCTTTATAGCCCAACTCTTATATACATACATGATTACTGGAAAAACCATAGCCTTGACTAGATGGACCTTTGTTGGCAAAGTAATGTCTCTGCTTTTTAAAATGCTGTCTAGGTTGGTCATAACTTTCCTTCCAAGGAGTAAAGCATCTTTTAATCTCATGGCTGCAATCACCATCTGCAGTGATTTTGGAGCACCCCCCCCCCCAAGCAAAAAAGTCTGTCACTATTTCCACTGTTTCTCCATCTATTTGCCATGAAGTGATGGGACCAGATGCCATGTTCTTAGTTTTCTGAATGTTGAGCTTTAAGCCAACTTTTTCACTCTCTTTCACTTTAATCAAGAGGCTCTTTAGTTCCCCTTTGCTTTCTGCCATAAGGGTGGTGTCATCTGCATATCTGAAGTTATTAATATTTCTCCTGGCAGTCTTGATTCCAGCTTGTGCTTCATCCAGCCCAGCATTTCTCATGATGTATTCTGCATATAAGTTAAATAAGCAGGGTGACAGTATACAGCCTTGACGTACTCCTTTCCTCATTTGGAACCAGTCTGTTGTTCCATGTCCAGTTCTAACTGTTGCTTCCTGACCTGCATATAGATTTCTCAGGAGGCAGGTCAGGTGGTCAGGTATTCCCGTCTCTTTAAGAATTTTCCAGAGTTTGTTGTGATCCACACAGTCAAAGGCTTTGACATAGTCAATAAAGCAGAAGTAGATGTTTTTGTGAAACTCTTGTTTTTTTGATGATCCAATGGATGTTGGCAATTACTAAAAACACTTCAGTTAGTTTGTTGGGGAAATATGTTAGTAACACAGTTTCATGGCCTGAATAAGCTTTGTTTTTTGTGAACTTGCATTTATTTACTTTTCATTGTTCAAATATGCCTGCCATTTACCTGGCACTCAAAAACACATGTGTGTTTAACTGGTGATTTGTAGCTCACTAAATTGAAATTATGGTATTGGACAAACCAGATAGGAAGAATATGTCTTATTCATCTTTGTGTCTCCAGTGTTGAGTGCAGTCCCTGCTTCTGTTTGTTGAATTGAATTTAGCATTTTAGATAGTCTTCATGGATAGTGAGTTTCTCTCTTTTAGGTTACTAAATTTAGTTTTTTAATTTAACTATTTGAAATGTGTAGTCCTCTGATAGTGATGGTGTTTGAATTTACAGTTTTATAAACTCACTTATCAAGGAACCTGAAGATAAAATCTTATGGGGCCAAATGAGAGAGGCTTCAGAATGTCACTGAGGGCCTCTGGGGTGATAGGGTGGGTGAAGTTCAGGATGAAGAGAGAGACTGAACCTAGTGCGTTCTCCTCAAAGTAGGGCGAAGTTCCTGCCTCTAGTCCTAATTTAGAAATGAATTTTTGTTTGTTCCAGGCTGCCCTTGAAGTGTGCAAGACATTTTTACAGGAAGATAGAGGTGAAGGAGTGATCATGGTGACAGATCCTCCATTTGGTGGCTTGGTTGAACCTCTGGCTGTTACATTCAAGAAGTTAATTGCTATGTGGAAAGAAGGTCACAGCCAAGGTGTGTGATTTATTATTTACTGCAAAATAAATATGTATATACATCTACTTCCTGTCACATATTAGCAGACCTTAGTGAATCAGAGCACTGAAAAAATATACATGCCTTGCATTCTCTTCTTTTGTGAAAAATAGGCATATTTGATGATGACTTTATCATGATACACTTTGTTTTATTCTAATCATGTGTTTGAAAAATGGCTCATAAATAAAATATTTGATTTTGGTGGGCATTAAAGAGGCATTATCTGTGAACATTTAACAGAATATCAGTGAACTGTTGTCATTTATTTACTGTTTACTAAATGGCCACTATGTTCCAGATACTGTTTAGATACTGGAAATGGAGTGGTAAATGGACACTTATCTCTGCCCTCATGGACCTTATATTTCATCTTCTAAAAGACTTACCCAAAACTCTAGGAGGGCACCCAGCCTCTGGGCCAAAGCTCTGAACTGTGCAGAGATTTGTTTGGGAAGGCTGGCCACCAAGTAGCCTAGCAGTGACGCATGGATACCTGACTCTGGAAGTGGGTTAATGACTGGGGGATATTCAGCTTAAAGTGGCTTAGGACTTCAAAGTATTTTATATAATTGCCTAATTAGTCAGTGTAATCATTTTTCAGTTTCCAGCCTGCAAATTGATAAATATAAGAGTGTCAGGAATTAAGTGATCAAGCTTCTCCATTAATTGTGCTATATAAACAGTGTGCTTTGGGGACAGGATGCAAATGAAATCTGAAAAGTGACTCATAGTGCTAAGTATCCCACTTATTTTTGGTTCTGAGGTCTACTTATCAAAGTGGAAAAGTCATTGCTATTGGGGAAGCAATAAAGAACCCTGTGGGTTTGAATTCAGTTCTCCTGCTCATTAGCTGCATAAATTTGAACAAAATGCTTAAATTTTGCACCTGCGGTTTCCGCATCTATGATATGAGATTACTATATTAATATCTGACTCCAGGAGTTATGGTAAAGAGATAACATATAGAAAGTTCCTAGCATTGTGCTCAGCCTGTATGAGGTGTTCTGTAAATAATAGCTATGTCCACTGTCTCTCATAAAAATTAATTCTGATGAAATTGTTCATAAGAATCTTCCATGATTCAGAAAAGATGGATCCACCCTGAAAACTGGCATAGTGAGTTATGGCAGAGATAAGGATTCAGATCTAAGGCCTTCTGCCTTCTGGTCTAGGAATCCTTCCACTGTGACACATTCACCTTTGTGCTTCATAGTGAAACTCATTTTTTATTTCTCTCTTTTTAGGTAATATCTTTGCCTTTACCTAGACCACAGTGATATGCATATAAAGTTAACTTTTATATACATACCCTGTGTAGCTGTGGTTAAATATATGAGAATGTTTCCATTGACTTTGGGGAAAAGTCAAGTTGTAAATGGTACTCCGGTAAATAGTCTCTCCTTCTGTATGATTTAAATGTATTGAAGGATTACAATTTCTCACAATACCATATTTTTTTCAGTAACAACTCTCTGATTTATTTTTTCTCTAATATCAGTTTTTTCTTTTCTCTTTTTTGTGATCCATTAGATAACAGTCAGAAAGAACTACCCATATTCTGGATTTTCCCCTATTTTTTTGAATCCCGAATTTGTCAGTTTTTCCCAAGCTTCTGCATGCTGGATTACCAGGTATAGTAAATATTCTGTTTTCTGGCATGGTTGGGAAGTGGATATTCTGCTTAAATAAATATTCTGTTAGGTCTATCCATCAGTTTTAGTAAATGCAAACACTATAAGCTATATGAGACACACTAAAACTCTATCATATGTAACTTAGTGCAGTGGTTCCTGGTGTCTGTAATCTCCAGGGTGCCTATTGAAAATATAGATTCTTAGGTACCAAAATAAGCCTACTAAATCAAAATCAGAGGGTAAAGCTGTAAGAAAAAATATTTTACCAAGCTTCCCAGGTAATTCTGAACTCAGCCAGGTTTTAAACTAAATGATCTAATGTTTCACATCACCAGGAGATTGGGCAGCACCCCAAGATCATCATTATGAACATGGGATTTCTCCATTCAGAGGTGGTAGAGAAGTAAATCGCTTTTTCTGGTGGGTGGAATGCCGTGTACACTTTACTTTGTTGCCCAGAGGATGCCAGGAGCTTCCAGGAGGGTTTTGCCCAAAGTCATGTTGGAACAAGTAGTGTGTCAGAGAAGCGAAGATGCTGAGGTGTGGGTGTGCTGATTCAGGGCACTGACCAGACCTTCTCCTTCACATCCCTGCCTTTCAGCTCGTCTGCTTTAGTGTCCACTCTCCTGGATTCATTTCCTTGAGTTCTGAGTTTAGCCCTATTGTTGCCATCACAGTGTGTGGTCAGCAAGGGGGCACTATTTCTTCTGTAGTGATATTTTTCTGTTTGAGATTTCTGAGCAGTTGACTAATCTCTGATCAAGGCTTTTCAGCCCCCAAATTGTAAAAGTCTTCACTAGTCGTTCCAAGCCAGCAGTGATTCTTTTATTAGTTGAAGTGCAGTTCATTTACCATACTGTGTTACTTTCAGATGTACAGCAGAGTGATTCAGTATTTTTGCAGATTATATTATATTATACACTATTACAAGATAATATGTGTAATTCCTGTATCACTTGGCGCTAATCTTTGTACATCTTGAAGATGTATATTATTATGAAAATTATTTAGAAATAATGTGAGAAACAGTGTAACTAAAAATGAGGGCACAGATCCTACCTGTAATTGTACTCCAAACAGCAAATATGTTGTTGAAGTAGAGTTGACCTTTGAATAACTGGACGGTTAGGGGTGCAGTTGGAAATCAGTGTATAACTTACAATTAGCCTTCTGTATTTGAACTTTCTCCATATCTGTGGTTCTGCATCTGTGGATTCAGCCAAATTTGTCTTGATAGTATTTACTATTAAAAAAGATTCATGAATAAGTAGACCCACACAGTTCAAACTTGTGTTGTTCAGGGGTCAACTATATTCACTTCTAGTCTTTTCAGAAAATCCTTTTACATATTTGTAATCATAGCAGATGAATATGATTTATGCTTCCTTCATGGTGCCTTATATAAATGTATATTTTTAAATGTAGCTATATAATCTTATGCTTTATTATTTCATTAATGGACTGTGTTGTTCTCTCTTTTTTCAGACTTGAGAGGTTGCTTCCACCTTTAAACATCTTCTATTCATAAAATTTTTTTATATTGTACATAACTCCCCTAAAATAAATTTATAAAACTAAAATAGAATTACAAAAGTTACACTGTCAAGTTTAATGGACATTTTCATGGTTGTTGAACCACATTAACAGATTCCTTTCCAAAACTGTGTAGCACAAGTCATTTTAACCTTGATTTCTTAAGCTCTGCTTTAGGCAAAATCTGTATCATAATTCTTCTCAAAGCTGGTTTACTTTCCTTTTTAGGGCATCCAGTTTTCTGTTTCTTGTCTGAAGGATGCTTCTACTGTAATATGGACACTTGCAAAGCAGAGATAGCTGACATATCCTAGCGATGTTAACTGAGTAAGCCATTTCTGGCTTCCAGGTGCACCTGCTGCCTTTGACAGTGAATAATCATCCAGTACAATGTTTGGCACATAGTAGGTGCCCTATACACATTGAGTGAATAATTGAGTGAAAAAGAGCATGAACTCTGGAGTTGAAAAGGAACTGGGTTTTAATCCTAGTTCTGACACGTAATAACTAGGCCTGCACATTTTATCTAACTCTCTGAAACTTATCTTACTTGTTAAATGAGCATAGTAACAATATATCTGCCTTATAAGGTTTTAAGAATTATTTGAGATAATATCTCAAAAAGCTTAGCCTTGTCTCTGACCCACAGCAAATGTAGAATAAAGGTCATTGCTATCAGCATTGTTGAAACCATCTTGATATTGTCATCATTCAGATGGTCCCAGATTCAGGGTAAAACTTTTCTTCAGGTCTCTTTTGTACAGTATCTGAGACATTAAAATTGTAAAACACATCATTCCTCAGAAAACTTTCATCCACATTCTGTTGTTGTTCAGTTGCTAGGTCATGTCTGACTCTTTGCAACCCCATTGATTGCAGCATGCCAGGCTTCCCTGTCCTTTGCTATCTCCTGGAGTTTGCTCAAACTTATTTCTATTTTTTCACTGTGGGCAAGAGTTTGAAATGGTGAGGAGGCAGAAGAAGGCAGATCCAGGATAAGGCAGATGAGAGCAATTAATGTGGATTAACCAGTTATCGTTTGTTTAGACAGGCTGTGTTACTACAAAAGAACTTTTACAAATGTTGGAGTTTTAGTTTTGAGAATTAGTTCCAAGGTCCAAGCTTACTGAAAGTAGTTCTATAACTCAGTGCTTCGGGGGGAAAAGGTTCTAATTAGATCTTGTATATCAGACAGGGTGAAAAGCAGTGTTTTCAATAAAGAGAAAGCCAGCTTTTGAGAAGATTAAAATAAAACTATAAAACAAAACAAATCTTCATTTTTTGTGTGATTGCTACTAAAGATAAGAACTACTGCCCCATTACATACTCACTGGGAGAAGATTTTGCCAGATCTCCTGGGGTGAACGTAAACCTCATTTATTGCACTTCACCTTTGATGGTTTTTCTGTTTTTTGTTTTTGTTTTGAGACTTTCTCTAGACTTATTATTATCCTTTCCAAACCTTTTGCATTCTTTCTTTTTTTCTGTTGTTACTTTAGCTTCATTTTGTGGTAATTTTTTCCCTTTTATATTAAACTGCCTTCATCAAATGAAAAATTTTCAAGTTTCCTCTCCCCCTTCACAGATCTCTTCCCATAGACCTTGATTAGGCCTTCTTTCTGACTTGGTCTGAGATGATTATATGCCCCCAAACCACAATACAGTAAAAAAAAAAAAAAATCACAAAATCTCTTTTTTCAAAAATACTTTTTAGGTTAGAGGAAGGCGAAAATGCTGCAAATCTTCATAAGATATAAGTCATGTAGAATCTTCAGTGATAAAGCACTTGATGAATACAGAATAAAATAGTTATCAAAGACCTAGAAAGGAAGGATTTGGTAATGAAAAGAAATTCTGATTTAGAGTCAGAAGTTTGAGTCCTAGCACTGCCTTTTAGAAGCTATTTAATCTTGAGGGAAGTTACTTTATCTTTCCAGGTCTCTGTTTCCTTACCTGTAAAATAAAATAATTGAACCAGAAAAGGGATGGCAGATAAGTTTTACTTTTAGACTTAAGCCTGATGAATTGATAGTGACTTCCTGGAGAATTTGTTGAGAATACCAGACTCAGTGGCAGAAAGTAGTGTGATTGATTAGTGATGTCTGCCACAGAGTTAGAGTCAGAGAGTGGTAGATTCAGGTCCTGTATTTACCATATCTGAGCTGGATCATCTCACTTCCCTTCCACCTGGAACATGCTCTGATCTCGTTTCTACTTAGTCTGGGGCATTTATCTGGATTGTTAAAAGTAGAGATCTTTGCTTTTTTTTTATTTTTAAAAAAGCTATCATTTAAAAAAATCATCCCATTCAAAAACTGTTTTTCAAGGCTGATTTCATGTTAAGAAATGAAGACACTTTGACAGGAATTTCTGAGAAATGATTGTAAATTATAAGGTGACAAGAATTTCTCAAAACTCATTATATAGTAAACATAAAATATTTAATGGATTTGAAGTGATGAATAATATACAAACATGTCTGTGTATGTCTCTGTAGAGGTTACATGGAATAAGGTTTTTAACCTTTTAGAAGTTCTTTAATCTTGAGGGAAGTCACTTTCCAGGTCTCTGTTTCCTTACTTGTTAAATAAAATAATTGAACCAGAAAAGGGATGACAGATAAGTTTTACTTTTAGACTTAAGCCTGATGAATATATTACATGTTGTATATGTAATATATATGTAAAAAACCTTATTGCTATGGCAGAAGTTGATTGATGGAGCTGAAGAGTTCACTTGGGATCTTTTGAATATAATGAAATTAAACAACGTACTTTAGGGAGTTCTGAAAATACAAGTATGTACTGTTTTTTATTTAATTTTTATTTCCCAGCATGGCACTTGAAACATAGTAGGTGCAGAGTAATTGTCGAGTTGACTGTCTTGGTTTCCATAGAACTAGTTTCAGTCTTGTGTTGCAGAAGACATTTGCTTATAGATAAAATTAAAAGTTAGAAATTGCAGAGATTTTGTGCTTTCCCTCATTTCTATACAGTACTTCATCACATTAATCAGTTCCATGGGAGAAATTTTCCATTTGAAAATGCCTCTCATCATCATTGTGAGTGAAATGTCAGGGATAATGATGGGAAAATGGTGTATCAGCTCTACCACTAGTGATATGCAATTTGCAAAATTGTGTTTGCTTTACAGCACTTCCATAGGAGGTTTATTTGTGTGGATGAAGCTATGAAATATGGATGTATGTTAGAGGTACATTAATTTACCCTAGCAGCATGCATTTTACATACCATATGTTTATAGTTAATTAGCACAACAAACCCACATTTAAAAATAATAATAATCTCAATTAGGTTATGCAAAATCAAGTAATCAACCACCTTCCTGACACACACATTCTCTGACTCCTTGGGTAATCATAAAGAAATTGTTCTTTTTTCCCCCTCTCTTCCATCTGCTATCTATTCTATTGCATAGAGTATTCCATTTACTAGAAGTCTTTCTAATATACTCTTTTCCAGCATTTGAAAATCTTAAGATTCTCTTGGAAAGAATTTTTTTTCTTATGACACTCATAAATGTTCAGATTATCTCTGTTGGATTTAATAAGGTGCCATATATTTACTGAGTACATTGAGGAGAAGTGCATTAGGGAAAAATTATGAATCTAAACCATTTTAAAAGAAAACTACTTAAAGCACTGTTTTAAGGTGATTGAAGTAAAGTCTACTTTTGTATCTTAGCCTAATAGTAACATATATTCATAGAATTTTAAAGTTGGAAACAAGCATAGCTTTAGCATAGGCTAACTTACCAATGTAATAATCCTCTCCACTAAATTCATGACAAGCAGCCATCTAGCCTCACTTGAATGCTTTCAGTGAGCAAAGTCCTACAGCCTTACAAGGCAACTCAATTTATTTAATAGCTCTAATCATTAGAAAATTTTCTCACATGGAGATAAAATATGCTCCCTATTAACTTCTAACCATTGGTCCTACTTCTATTTTCCAAAGCAATGAAGGAGAAGTCTAATTTCTATTCCACATGACACCCCTTCAGTTATAGCCATCAGATCCTCCCAGTCTTCTCTTTTCTGAATAAATACCCCCAGTCTGTACAACTGTAAGTCCTATTTATCCCCATTACTTTCAGTAGAAATGAACTGGCTTTATTCATATCTCTCTTAAAATGTAGCAACTGAATGCAGAGCTTTGAAAGTGATCTAACCTCATCTTCTTTCCTTGTTAATGATATTATAGTTGTTATAGTCCCGAGTAGTCCAACTGTAGGCCCACACCTACTCTTACGTGGTTACACTAGACTGTGGACTCACTATGCTGACCTGTATATGCTCACCACGCAAAACACCCTAGGGCTTTTTTCCTCACTGTCTCTTGTTTAGTTGGGTCTCCTCACCTTGTACTTTTCTTTCCCCCCACTGCTGAAGCTTGTTAATCAGTCTTCCTAAATTTGTTCTCCTGTAAATCTAGCCAGCAGTGATATGGCCATGGAAGAACCTGGGAATCTCCCGTTAAAGGCCTCTCTTTCCATTGTGCTCAATGCCTTCAGTTCAGTTCAGTCGCTCAGTCATGTCCCACTCTGCGACCCCATGGACTGCAGCATGCCAGGCTTCCCTATCCTTCACTATCTTCCAGAGCTTGCTCAAACTCATGTCCATCGAGTCGATGCCATCCAACCATCTCATCCTCTGTTGTCCCCTTTTCCTCCTGCCCTCAATTTTTCCCAGCATCAGGGCATCAGGGCATCAGGGTCTTTTCCAATGAGTCAGTTGTTCACATCAGGTGGCCAAAGTTTTGGACACTTTGACAGGAATTTCTGAGATGCTTTATGCCTTATATTTTTGTAATTCTCTCATTAAATAGTTAGCTTGTGAGTTCTGTTGTAAATTCTTAAGTGTAATCTTATGTAGAATCTACACAATTTATTACTTGAAAGTTGGGGTCTATCTTATAAAAATCCCATAATACTCTTGTGGGTGATAGATCTAAAGCAGTGTTTCTCAAGCTTTAGTATGCGAAGAGAGGGCTTGTTAAAAATGCAGATTGCTGGACCCCAACCCCAGAGTTTGTGTTTTTAGGTCCTAGGTGGGACAAGAAATTGCATTTCTAACATGATCCCAGGTGATGCTGATATTGCTGATCCAGACACCACACTTTGAGAGTTAATGATCTGAAGAAAGATGGACTTAGTGGCTAGGTGGAATTCATGGCAGGTTTAAAACCAAACTGAGAATGTTTATGGGTGATAGTCTGGAGGAGGAGAGGGGAGCCAGAAGCTGATAGGAATCATGCTTGTTGGTTTCAGTTTATTTTCCAGATAATCTGTAGAAAGGGGAGGTTGAGTTAGGGATCTTAAGGAGAGAGGTGAATGCTTGAAGTGGTCATTGTGGGGGAGAACTGTAGTTGATTTCCCTCTGTGTCTCCATCCTTCTGTCTCCAGCATATGCCAGGTCCTGAATTCAGTGTTTTACATACATTGGCTCATTTAACTTTCACAACAACTCTAAGTAAGTGTTAGTAACCTCCTTTTCCAGTTGAAAATGATGCAGGCTTGCCTGAGGTCATATAACAGGTGAGCGGCAGAGCCATTGCCTGGCCTTGAGCTGGCTCTGTCAGAAAGTGATGGTGGAGGGCCAAACCAAGGTGGCACTGAGCCTCAGGGAGCTGAAAACTGACACGCAGTGAATGCAAAAAGTGAAAAACCCTAACCAAGCTGTCACGGATCATCAAAGGTGGAATTTTTTAACCCCCAAAGCTAAATTCTTAGTTATGTAATAGCCCTTCTTGCAGAGTCCGTTGCGTTGGGTCCAAGATTAGAGTTCTTCTCTTAATCCCAGGTAACATGAATTTGTCATAACAAATTTTACCTTTTTTATAATAAAATTTTACTCTCATGGAGTCCTCTCTGAATCTGTTGACTAATAAGTAAACTCTTGCTTTTAAGAACTTCTTGTTAAATGCTCTGATTTAATTTGTATCTTGGCATCAGTTTGTTCACCTATTGGTAAAGAGTCTTAACAAATGTTGACTCAGTTGAGAAATTTTTCTTTGAATTTTTTTTTTTCTTTCTAGGTAGATTATGATAATCATGCACTTTATAAACATGGAAAGACAGGACGGAAACAGTCTCCTGTGCGTATTTTCACAAATATCCCACCTAACAGAATAATCCTTCCTATTGAAGAAGGGTACAGGTAAGATCACAGAGGGACCTTGAAATACATGAGTCACTGAAAATAAAGTTCCATATATCTGATACGAAAATGCCTTTCATATTGACTCATGTAGTACTTTTATTACTATTAAATGTGGCCTAAAATGTTGTATTGAATTTAATTTCAATTATACCGAATTTTTGTAACATGCCTTGTGAACTTTTATCTACCTTGTGAATCTCAATAGGTATAAATATATGCAGCTCATTTCATCAGGCCTTTCTTTTCTCCTTAGATTTTGCCCCCTGTGTCAACGATATGTTTCTCTAGAGAATCAACACTGTGAACACTGTAATTCTTGCACATCCAAGGTATAGTTTTCTTTATAATGTGTTTTTACTCAAATATATTAGTTTTATTTTAGTTCACTAGTTTCATTACATTTTCTTAATTTTTTAAAATATTATAATTCATATTAATGTATTAATGCCAAAGAATGTTCAAATTACTATACAGTTGTGCTCATTTCACGTGCTAGCAAGGTTATGCTCAAAATCCTTCAAGCTAGGCGTTAGCAATATGTGAACCAAGAACTTCCAGATGTGCAAGCTGGGTTGAGAAAAGCCAGAGGAACCAGAGATTAAATTGCCAACATTCATTGGGTCATGGAGAAAGCAAGAGAATTCCACAGAAACATCTACTTCTGCTTCACTGATTATGCTAAAGGCTTTGACTGTGTGAATCACAACAAACTGTGGGGAATTCTTAAAGAGATGGGAGTACCAGACCACTTTACGTGTCTTCTAAGGAACCTGTATGCAGGTCAAGAAGCGATAGTTAGAACTTAATATGGAACAATGGACTGGTTCAAAATTGGGAAAGGAGTACATCAAGACTGTATATTGTCACTCTGCTTATTTAACTTATATGCAGAGTACATCATGTGAAATGCTGAACTGGATAACTCACAAGCTGGAATCAAGATTGCCAAGGGAAATATCAACAGCCTCAGATATGCACATGATACCACTCTAATGGCAGAAAGTGAAGAGGAACTAAAGAGCCTCTAAAGAGGAGAGTGAAAAAACTGGCTTGAAACTCAACATTCAAAAATCTAAGATCATGGCATCTGGTCCCATAACTTCATGGCAAATAGATCAGGAAAAAGTGGAAGCAGTGACAGATTTTATTTTCTTGGGCTCCAAAATCACTGCAGATGGTGACTGCAGGCATGAAATTAAAAGACACCTGCTCCTTGGAAGGAAAGCTATAATAAACCTAGATAGCATAATAAAAAGCAAAGACATCCCTTTGCTGACAAAAGTCCATATAGTCAAAGCTGTGGTCTTTCCAGTAGTCATGTACGGGTGTGAGTGTTAAATCATAAGGAAAGCTGAGCTTCAAAGAACTGATGCTTGTGAATAGTAGTGTTGGAGAAGACTCTTGAGAGTCCCTTGACCAGCAAGGATATCAAATCAGTCAATCCTAAGGAAATCAACCCTGAATATTCATTGAAAGGTCTGTCGCTGAAGCTCCAATACTTTGGCCACCTGATGCAAAGAGCTAACTGATCGGAAAAGACCTTGATACTGGGAAAGATAGAAGGCAAAAGGAGAAGGAGGCAGCAGAGGATGACATGGTTGTATAGCATCACCAACTCAATGGACATGAATTTGAGCAAACTCTGGGAGATAGTGGAGTACAGAGGCGCCTGCAGTCCATGGGATCGCAAAGCGTTGGGCAACGGCTTAGCAACTGAACAACAACAGTTAGTGTATTATTGTTTATTAATTATATTTTAATACAATATCTTTTCTCTAATCATAAAGTACTGCAGGCTTTTAAAAATATTTAGTTGCCTTCATTATCATTAATAATTTTTGAGTTATTTTTATATGGTAATGTGTGACTGCTAAAATTACTAGTGTTTCAAATAAGGCACTAAATGAAGACTAAATTTTGTTGAGGGAAAAATTGTTTCAAATAAGGAATTGAATTATTAGATACCAATCACTGTTCTGATGAAGCAGCAGTTAGTAACAGGACTCTTTATGTGCCAGGCCCTTTTTAAGTGCTGTACATGGACTAAGTCGTTTAGTCCTCACACAGCGCTAGTAGACAGGCCTTGTCACAGGCGGGGAGGGACTACAGAGGACATACCTCCTGCTGGCGTCTTTAGGAAGGCAGGATCCCCCGGAGGATACCCTGTTATTTTAACTCCATCCAGTCAAAAAGAACATGTGAAGTTTAGTTGGCTGATAAGCATGTACCATTCTCTAAAGGAAAGGCTGTATTTTTATAACTATTGGAAAGTACATTTTTTTTAATAACCTACTGGTTGTACTGGTTTTTTACTATGGTAACATTGATTATATATATTTCTAATTAGTTTAGAAATTGTCTGTATTCTTCATTTAAAAAAAAATTTGCCCAAATCATACAAATTCCAAAATGAGAGGAAAAAAAAACAGTTTTTTAAAAAATTTAGAGATGTACACATAGGTGGAAAAAAATAAAAACAAGGAAGTGAGCATCAGAAAAGCTAGGCTAGGTGTTCCTCAGTAGGGAAGGAAGAATGCTGGACTGGAAGGGGCATTTGGGAAAGTGTCTAGGGGACTGATGGAATTGTCTCTTGACTTGTTGGGTTCTTCATTGTTCACTTTATAATACTCACTAAACTGGATGTATGCATTTCATGTACTTTTCTAGGTATGTTTTATCTCACAGTTTTTAAACTACCCAGATAGTAGCCTCCATCCTTCTAAATTACATTTTCTCAAATATGAACGTTATTAAGGATCATGTCAGATAGACTATAAAAACTATGAGTCGTTAATTCTCTTGAAATTTTCATTGAGTCCTTCTTCGTGCTGTTTGGGTTGATTGATCTGGAGTGGACTTTCAAGATCATTTAGATAAATCCCCCAGTTTTAGTGTTACGGAATTTGGGGCATTTGAGTTGAGTGGAGAAGTGCATAAATTAAAATCAAAGTATTTAATTGTAAAGCTCAGGAAAGTGAGAAATAAGGAATGAATAATTTACACAGCTTTTAATAAGCCATTTTAATTTTTAATTATGGGGCTTGATTCTTAATGACAAATTAATCATAGTTTAAAAATTGTTTTTGTAGGATGGCAGGAAATGGAACCATTGCTTTCTCTGCAAAAAGTGTGTAAAGCCTTGTAAGTATTTAGACTTAGTGTTTGAGATTCTATGAAAACATTTGAGTTTTTCTTCATCTAAATAGAATTTTTATTTAACTGTATTTACAAAAGAAGAAAATTAATATAGAGACTTACATTAATTTACTTCCTTTTTAATTTTTACACTTATTAAAATGAACTTTCTCTCCTTTAGAGAGAGAGAGATGACTACCTTGTTTGGTTTGATTATTTTAATAGGATTTTGTATTGTTCAGCCGGTCCCCATTGTCTCAGTGGTCCATGACTCATTACCGAAGAGTGGAATTTTTTGCCACATATCAGAAAGAAGTTAACTGGTTTACGTGGGATTCCAGCCTCTTAACCTTGGCCTCTTTAGCCAAATTATAATTAGCTCGGTAAAGAGATCACAATATTTGAAGTAAACACTATTCATACTTCCTCATCATAAGGGTTAATCTAATGAAAAATTCTATTAAGTGAACCTCTTCTAAAACCTAATTTTTTATTTTACAGCCTGGATCCACTGTAGCATTTGCAATCACTGTGCTCTTCCAGATCATCCTTGCAAGGGCCCGAGAGACGGCTGCTTTATTTGTGGTGAATTGGACCATAAACGGAGTACTTGTCCTAACATTTCTACATCTAAGAAAGTTAACAAGTTAGTTGAATTCCTTTATTTACTCGAAAAATTTTTCTTGTGTACAGAACAATCCACAAAAATGTGCAATAACTGGAGGATCCATAGTGCTAAATTAATTGTTGCTTTCACTGTTAGGCATTGTTTGCATAGATGGGGAGGAAGGGTTTCAAGGTGAGTCAGAGAGCTTAAGATTTTACAGGCAAGACCAGTAAATAACCAAAATATAAGGTAGAAAATGACTGACAGACTAACTTTCCTATATGTGTATATAATATATTTGTTATAATTCAAAGCAACATGATACCAATGACAGTAGTTGATTTAGAAATACTATTGGTATTTCAAATGGGCTAACTTGAATGATTACACTTTTTTCTTTTTACACTAAAGGGATGATATGTATTGAGTCCTCTTGTTTTGCTGATGTGAAAACCAGATAGCTAAGTTTAATATTACATGAAAATTGAGACCAGGATAAAGATTTTGAGCACTCATATAACTTGTGATGAAAAAAACATCTTTTAGTATTAGAAGTGTTTGGTTGGTGCAAAAGTAATTGCGGTTTTGCATTGTTGAATTTTGCCATTTGATACTGGAATACATTCTTAAATAGATGTTACTTTACACATTGTTTTAATGCACATTTCTTGCTTTTATTTTTTGCTAATGACTTATTACTTGTTTATCTTATATTTTAGACTATAGAAATGATGTTAGACAAAAAAACAAATTTGAGCAGTTTTTTTATTCGAGGTCAAAATGGGTTGTAAAGCAGCAGAGATGACTCACAACATCAACAATGCATTTGACCCAGGAACTGCTAGCAAACATACAGTGCAGTGGTGGTTCAAGAAGTTTTGTAAAGGAGACAAGAGCCTTGAAGATGAGCAGTGTAATACAGCTGGTCATAGGAAGTTGACAACAACCGAGAGCCATCATTGAAGCTGATCCCCTTACAGAGAAGTTGCTGAAGAACTCAACATTGACCATTCTGGTCATTTGGCATTTCAAGCAAATTGGAAAGGTGAAAAAGCTCGATAAATGATTGCCTCATGAGCTGACCAAAGTCAAAAAAGTCATTGTTTTGAAGTGTCATCTTCTCTTATTCTCGGAGAAGGCACTGGCGGACCCACTCCAGTACTCTTGCCTGGAAAATCCCATGGATGGAGAAGCCTGATAGGCTGCAATCCATGGGGTTGCTAAGAGTTGGACACGACTGAGTGACTTCACTTTCACTTTTCACTTTCATGCATTGGAGAAGGAAATGGCAACCCACTCCAGTGTTCTTGCCTGGAGAATCCCAGGGACGGGAGAGCCTGGTGGGCTGCCGTCTATGGGGTCGCATAGAGTTGGACCCGACTGATGCGACTTAGCAGCAGCAGGTTCTCTTATTCTATGCAACATTTCTTGATTGGATTGTAATGCGTGATGAAAAGTGGATTTTATATGACAGCTGTCAATGACCAGCTCAGTGGTTGGACCAAGAACAAACTCCATGCACTTCCCAAGGCCAAACTAACACCATGAAAGGTCATGGTCACTGTTTGGTGGTCTGCTGCCTGTCTCATCCAGTACAACTCTCTGAAGCCTGGTGAAACCATTATATGAGAAGTATGCTCAGCAAATTGATGAGATGCACCAAAAATTGCAACGCCTACAGTCAGTGTTGGTTAACAGAATGGGCCCAATTCTCCACAACCTCGCCTGACTGCATGTCACACAGCTGCTTCAGAAGTTGAATGAGTTGGGCTGCAAAGTTTTGCCTCTTAGACCATATTCACCTGATCTCTCTCCAACCAACTACCACATCTCAACAACTTTTTGCAGGGAAAATGCTTCCACAACCATCAGGCGGCAGAAAACGCTTTCCAAGAGTTCATCAAATCCTGAAGCACAGATTTTTATGCTACAGGGATCAACAAACATTTCTCACTGGCAAATATGTGTTGATTATAATGGTTCCTATTTTATTAATAAAGATGTGTTTGAGTCTAGCTATAATGATTTAAATTCATAGTCCAAAACAGTTACTTTCGTACCAACCTGAATACCTGATGCTTTACTAACTACTTATGATTGTATTCTTTTCCATCTGTTTTTATTTTTTTGGTCAGTAGAAATTTTTTTCCATTAAAGCCCAGCTATTTGAATTCTGCCTACTATTTAAACTACCTTTTCCATTAAGAAATGAAAATGAGAGTGTCAGTCACTTAGTCGTGTCTGACTCTGTGTGACCTCATGGACTGTAGCCTACCAGGCTCCTCTGTACATGGAATTCTCCAGGCAAGAATACTGGAGTGGATAGCCATTTCTTTCTCCAGGGGATCTTCCCAACTCAGGGGTCAAACCTGAGTCTCTTGCATTGCAAGGAGATTCTTTACCATTGGAGCCGCCAGGGAAGCCCATGCTTTTTATCGAATCTACTTTCAATAATTATTTCCACTATGTAATCAAGGGTAGAAGTGGTATTATAAAAATTAACTAAAGAGGTATATTGAGTCTTAGAAAATACTTTTCCTTATAAACCTTTAAGAATAGAATACAGTCTCATAAAGTAGGGGTGATCTAGGGTTGTTTTACTATTTACAGTATAATTCTAGTTGCAAACAGGAGTTAGTATCATGCTCAGCCTTTGATTCTGTGATTTTATGACACATGGAAACTGAATTTGCATTTTAGTAATACACTATAGACTCCTCCTTGGTTCTTAAATAGCTCTGACTAGTTTATTTGTTAGTAATATATTGTTTTCATTGAGGAAAATCATGTGGTATCCTTCAGTACTAGATTTTATCAATTTTAATTCAAGACCAAATCTTCTAGAATGTGGTATACCTGATAATTCTTTTTTTTTTCCCATTTATTTTTATTAGTTGGAGGCTAATTATTTTACAACATTGTAGTGATTTTTGCCATACACTGACATGAATCAGCCATGGATTTACATGTATTCCTCATCCCGATCCCCCCTCCCACCTCCCTCTCTACCCGCTCCCTCTGGGTCATCCCAGTGCACCGAGCCCGAGCACTTACTTGTCTCATGCATCCAACCTGGGCTGGTGATCTGTTTCACCCTTGATAATATACAGTTTTGATGCTGTTCTCTCGAAACATCCCACCCTCGCCTTCTCCCACAGAGTCCAAAAGTCTAAAAATATGGAATGCTTCACGAATTTGCGTTGTCATCCTTGCGCAGGGGCCATGCTAATCTTCTCTGTATTGTTCCAATTTTAGTATATGTGCTGCCGAAGTGAGCACTACCTGATAATTCTTGAATAGTATCACCTTCTTCTCTTAGAGAAGACACCTAAACTGTTAATGGTTATTTTCAGGTATTGCTTTCAAAAAATTTTTAAAATGAAATTGACAAGGCATGAACTTTTTATAATAGTAAAAAATAATTTTTATGCTTTTTTTATGCCTCTGTGGCATAAAAGGTCTTTTCATCTTGTATGTTTTATAGTTGTCTTATGTTACTTTAGTTTTCCTTAGTATTAATTTCCCTTTGGTTATGAACTAGAATGATGCTGGCTCCCTCTTGTGGTTAGAGCTCATTTTATCAGTCACATAAATACTTGTAATTTAGAGGACAAATATCAATACCAGGTCAATTTAATTTTAAGGCAAAATAAAACAGCCAGTTGATTTATACTCAGTTTATCACTGTTTAAAGACTCTACCTCTGGAGCATTTGTTTATTCATATTAGAAATGAGTGTTTTCTTTCTGTTTTTGTTTACCATATCTTCTAGTGAAATCCGGTTCATGTTTAGTTCTTATCAGTGGATAAGCCAAAGAAAATTTGTTTGAATTTTGTATACAGGCATGCATAATAACTTCATTTATTTTGCGATCAAGAGATTATACGTCATTACGTTTGCTAAATTCATCACTTACCAGGACATTTTCTTACTTTAAAAAAATGGCTGGAGAAAAAGGAGACTTATATAACATGCACAAAACAGAACGAAGATGACTGTTTTGTTTTATTTTGAACTTGAAAGATACCCTAGTGCAAAATCTAAACATGGAAAAATATTAAATTACCAAGCAAACTTCTGAATAGTGGTCATGTGGAGCTACTAATAATAGCTAATTTTTTTAGGAGTTACTATATGCTGAGCATTTTATATACCTGAATAATTTATAGTAGTGTATGTAGTATCAAGGTAAAATTAAAAGAGCACAGTTTCCTGAATCAAGCTGATTCTGCCACTTCCTCAGAGATGGTTTCTTAGCCTCAGTTTCTTTCCCTAAAAAAGAAAAGTGGGGAGAATGCAAGGGAAGGATGACGCCTGCCTTGTCTCTGTCTCCCTGCTCCTTGAAGTCAGTTGTACCCATTCATGTTTGTATTCCCAACACTTAACATGTACACTGAATGACCCAAAGGAGAGGCTGAGTTTGTCCACTAGGAGATTACATACTGTGTATGAAGCTGCTTTCCCAGAGTTTGGTCCTGGGAAGATCAAGAAGAAGCTTTTCCCTTGGACTTGTGGGGTTTGTAAGGAGGAGTCTAACAGTTGATATCGCTGGGCAGCCTTGAAAGTTCCAGGTCTGCCAGTGCTGGCAGCCCCAGCTCATCCCTTTGTTCATGATGTAATAAATGGTATGATTCTGCCAGCTTGGAGAAAGTGAATGAACAGGCCAGTAATCTTTCTCAGCTATAGATTGCCTGTAACTTAGTTCAGAGAGCACCTGAAGCAAAGGATCTGTTTTTGTTTTCTGGTGTGATTTAATGCTTTTTAGAGATTGACTTTCAGCTTATTCATTTTGAAGCTAGTCTTCAAGAGACCACTAAATGTGGACATCCTGTATGGCATTTGTCAGGATTTTAGGATACTGAGGAAAGGAAAATTAAGACTATAAGATGAGCTTCTGTAAGCCTTTTCAGAGTTGCAGCATTTTTCTACCATTGCTAACTGTCAATATATCGGTCTTTTTCTGAAAAATGTAATTCAGGGTTTTGGAGATCGAAGTGCTGAGTTGAGCAGTACAAATGTAGAAGGAAAAAAAAAAAAAAAACAACCTCCTAACTCATTGGCTTGACTATTTACCTCTGTGGTGTATTTGTCCTGAATAGATTGTTCTAAATCTGTAGTAACCATCTTTCAAAGAAATTTCTTCTCTAAAACATTTTGCTTGGTCAGGACTCTATCTCCTTGTTACTGTGGTTAGGATTCTGAGGATTTATGCTTATAATACAGTAAATTCTTTCCCTTCTGTTTTCTTATTTGGTTAGCTAGTTAATTAAACTTCAACATAATTACATAATTCACTGTGCTCATTCTCCAAAATAATTTAGCACCTTGTTTTTCAGGGCTGTCAGAAAGCAGAAGCAAAGAAAAAGCAATAAGATGAAAATGGAGACCACTAAAGGACAATCCATGAATCATACATCTGTTACAAGGAAGAAGAAAAGAAGAGAAAGAACCCATCAATATCTTTGCTCTTAAATGTCCAGTGACTTGAGAATAAGAAAGATTTATAGTCCAACCTTTGATGCCATTTTCTGAAAGTGCCATGTTGGACTTAAATTCTGTTGCTTTCAAAGGTATGCACCTTTCTAAGCTTGAAAATAGGGAGGTGGTATTTTGCTGGTTTATAGACCCCCCCCCCCCCCACACACACACACACACACACACACTGCAGCCCCTCTGGAGATCTTTGCCGGCTTGCTAGCTTTTGGTGCCTTTTTTCTCTCTTTACATCTCTTCCAGTAATATTATTTTAGCTTCTTTTATCTGAAAAATGGGCACAGAGCATTCTTTTGCAGAAACAAAGGAGAAAATAAGCATGAAAACCCGAGGTTTTGTTTACATTGAACATAAGAGTATGTTGTTATATATGTTAAATTAAATATTAAAATATTGTACAATGGCTTAAATCCCACTTGTAAAGAGAAATACTATGTACAGTTGTGTTTTTTTAAGACAGAATCTGAAGATGGAAAGAATTTTGACAAAGGCAGTCTAAAACAATTATGGTTATATTAATATTAAATATTTATTTTTCAACTATTCTGCAGTTATCCTTTGATGATATAGAATCACCTAAATGTTTGTTGAATTATGACTTGCTCAGTCATCTTACTGTCTGTTAACTTAGGCAGGATGTTTCTTTGTAAAAGTTGTAGCAGAGGCAGTCTATTTTGGTGATTCAAACTCCTCTTTCCTATTCTAACACTTACTGATTGTATGTCTTTGGCCAAGTCATTCACTCTCTAGAAGCCACTGTTTCTTCATTAATATAATAGGGACAACACATCTCAGGATTGTTTGTGGTTAAATTAAATAAGGCTCATACACCAGGCTCTCGGTTCACTTGTTCGCCTGGAGAAGTGTTAATAGGTGAAGATGGTAATTATCTGTGGTCCAGGGTTGCAATGCTAAAGGGAGGAGTTTGAACAAAGAATTCCGCTCCCCATTTCTCTGCTAGGTATCTGACATTATCTTCTTAAGACTTGGTAGTTTTGAATGGCTTGTATTTGCATAATGACTCTCCTCTCTTTCCCACATGACTATTTTAAAGCATGTTTGGAGGCATATCTGCTTGGGTGTAGCTGGAGCCCTCTAAGTAAAAGTAGAAGAACTGTACTCCATCTCTTATTTAAATTCTACCTGGTATTTAAGTTTGGTACCTGCTGTGGAATCCTCACACATGGCCCTGACAGTGTGGTCCTGATAGATCAGGTGACATCAAAAGATGAGCCAAGCTCCTGGATTTAACAAGCATCAGAAAATTCTTCTCTTGTCCCATTTTTATGGGTTGCTGTGGTGCTAGGAGGGGCAGATTTTGAGGTGACTGGATGAGAGATGAACCTTGTAGAGTCATTGTAAGAGTCTCTCTGATTCAGGTATAGGTGTGGACATTGCCTGACTTTCATGGGGTCCATGATACTGTGGTTAAAATCTACTGAAATCTGCCCAGAAACTCAGACACCTGAGGGGCCATGACTGCTGAAGAATTGGGTCCTGATGGCCAATGGTTATCATCACCACATTTTCTTAGTTTTAAGATACCATCAATTGGTAAAGTGTGCTATTGATGGAATCATATCTTTTCAGGGGGAAAACACCCTTATCTTATTAATTGTATGGGTTAAACTTTAGATGTGTCTTATTTCAGAAATACTGAAATTTGAAAAAAAGCCCATCTTAGTATTGAGCAAATAGGGTGTTACTTATAATCAGGAATTTTGTACTTGAAAACTTTGTTACCTTCTCAGACTTAAAAATAGGAAGTTTGATGGTCCTGTTCTTGTATTCAGTTATGGTAATTTTAAGGACTTAATTTCTTTCGTTCCTCAGAGAATAAACGAATAGAATGTGAAAATGTCTCTGGGAGGTATAAAGTGTGATGGGAGATGAGGTCATTTGTTCTAATTAGGAATCTGCATATCTGAACATTAAGATACTTACTTAAAACTGCAGCAAAAGAAAATCCCTGAAATTTGACAGACAAGCCTTTTTAAGCTTTTTAAAAGGAAATTTTTTTTGGCCATTCCTTGTGGCATGTGGAATCTTAGTTCTCCCACCAGGGACTGAACCTGTGCTCCCTGCAGTGAAAATGTGGAGTCTTAACCACTGGGCCACTAGGGAAGTTCGTGAAAAGGATATTTTTCTTAAATAATTGCCACTAAATTTCATTCTATTTCTTGTTTATATTACATAATGTAATGAAATATGATGTTACTTTGTCGTATTTTTGTACTTTGTCACATTTTGTCACTTTGTAGGCCCTGAATGAGATTAGATTTTTTCCCCTACATTTAGTGTGATATTTAGACTAATTTATTTCTCTGGTATGCCTCAGTCTTTTCATCCCATTCTCTTTTTTCTGTTTGGAATATTTCCCTCCATACAGCCATCTTTTAAAGTCTTAACGGAGCCTTTAGGCCCTGGCCCCAATCCCACTCTTTCCTGGTAAGTTTCACATTTGAGACTGATACCAGCTGAGGCTTTCCTCTCCAAGCTGCTTGCTATTCTGCACCACACTTGAGTCACTTTTTATGTATTAGTCCATGATTATATTGACAGATTCTGTTTCCCCGAAAGGTTTCAGTTTCTTAATGTCAGTACCCACTTCTTATAGTCTCATGTCTCCTATGTATTGTAGGTGCTCAATAGAAACTTGAAAGGATAGAATTTTCTAGAGATTTTCAGGTGGTGGGTATATTTATTTTCTAGGGCTACTATAACAAATGTATTGGATAGTTTAAACAACAGTAATTAACTTTCTCACAGTTCTAGAGCCTGGAAGTTCAAGATAAAGGTGTTGACAGGCTTGGTTCTCCTGAGGCCTCTCTCCTTAGCTTGCAGATGGTTGCCTTCTCACTGTATCCTCACGTGGTCTTTTTTTGGTGTCTCTCTGTGTCCACATTTCCTCCTGTAAGGATGGTCAGATAGGATTAGTGCCCACCTTAAAGGCCTCATTTTACCTTTATCTCCTTTTTAAAGATGGTGTCTCTAAATCCAGCCCCTGTCTGAGGTACTGGGAGTTAGGACTTCAGCATATAGATTTGGAGAGACACAGCTCAGTCCCTGACATTAGGCTTGCCTAAGATATGCAGACAACTTGCTTTTTTTCTTAGAAGGACTGAAAAAAAAAAAAAACCTAGTGGTTCAAATGGTAAAGAATTTGCCTGCAATGCAGGAGATCTGGGTCTGATCCCTGGGTCAGGAAGATCCCCTGGAGAAAGGGAATGACAACCCACTCCAGTATTCTTGCCTAGAGAATCCCAAGGCTGGAGGAGCGTAGCAGGCTACAGTCTACGGGGTCACAAAGAGTTGGACACGACTTAGCAACTAACACACAACACTTATTACTAAAAAATGCTAACCATCATCTCATAACAAAGGGATGCCACAAATCTTCAACCGTAAAGAGACACAGTATCTGTGAAGTACAATAAAACATGGTGTGCCTTTGACTTTTAAATATAAAATCACAGCCTACAAAAGGTTGTGGTCTGATGCCACCTTCTTCATGATGTCCTCGCTGGTGTCTCCAGTGGAACAGTACATCTTTTGCCAGTGAAATAAAAATAAGTGTGTGTTTGTGTGTCTTCGACTTGTTTTCAGGTACTTAAATCATGCCCTGCATTAGAACGACTCTCTGTGCATGTTTCCCCTCTGTGGCTTAGAAGCTCGTTGGTGCCCAGGGCCTGTGGAATTCACGGTGCGCCTTCACTGGCTCCCAGAGCTGTGTCTGACACATGGTGATATCAGAGACAACCAGCTGCAGGACCCATGGCCTCCTTCCTCCTTCCACGAGCCTGGGAAGCTAACACCGCTAACTGCAAGTGAGCACCCACGCTAACACTGTTGTGCACTCACCCAGTAGAAGCTCCTCATAAATCAGGGTTGGGTCAGGTGAATGGAAATGGTCATTTATGAACCTCCAAACCCAACTGTGCTGTCTAATAGAAAAACGCTAATACACTTAGAGCTGCCAAGAAAGAAAAACTTTAAAAAAATGCAAAGGAAACATCTAATTTGACTTACTTGATGTAGTTTTAATTGGAAATTAGGACATGGGTTAAATTACTTGAGGGTCAGCTAGAAGGTCATTGCAATAAAGTGACGATAAGATCTCTACAATTTAATTTCAAGAGACTTAGTATAAATGTTAACTTGGCAAGATTGGGCAGGGGGGTGGGGAAGGGAAAGCATCAAGACTGAGCAAGCAGATGGCAGAGATCCAAGGGGTACGTTTTATCCCATTAGCTGGACAGTCACAAGATTCTCACACTATTGCATGGCTTAGTACCCGTGCAGACTGTAACTGTGACATCCGGTCGTCTTTAAGAAACTAACCCTAATTAGATGGGCCTGTTTCGTCACTTGCAAATGTGGAGGTGAGGAGTGGGAGAAAACTAGAGATAGTCAGCCTAAACATTCTGCATGCTTAAAGAAGACAAAAGGAAATAAAAGTTGCTGCCTGTTAACTTTGCACTTAATACATGAGCCACCTGTGTCAAAGAAAATGAAAAGTGACTGATTCTACTGCCCGGAGAACCACTGTCACAGCTTACGGGTATTTTCTTCCAGAAACAGGGTTCCTGTACAAATAGCTACAGACACTTAAAATTTTTTAAAAATGGAATTGTAAAAATAAATTGTTTTGTAATCTTCTCATAAAGATGTTGTGAACATCAGTTTATACCCGTAATGACAGTATTATTCTTCAGTATGGATCAGTTAGTCAGTTCAGTCGTTCAGTCGTGTCCAACTTTTTGCAACCCCATGAACTGCAGCACACCAGGCCTCCCTGATCGTCACCAACTCCCGGAGTTTACTCAAACCCATGTCCATGGAGTCCGTGATGCCATCCAGCCATCTCATCCTCTGTCGTCCCCTTCTCCTCCTGCCCCCAGTCCCTCCCAGATCAGGGTCTTTTCCAGTGAGTCAACTCTTCCCATGAGGTGGCTAAAGTACTGTAGTTTCAGCTTCAGCATCAGTCCTTCCAATGAATACCTGGGACTGATCTCCTTTAGGATGGACTAGTTGAATCTCCTTGCAGTCCAAGGGACTCTCAAGAACTTTTGACCACAGTTCAAAAGCATCAATTCTTTGGCGCTCAGCTTTCTTGACAGTCCAACTCTCACATCCATACATGACCACTGGAAAAATCATAGCCTTGACCAGACGGACCTTTGCTGGCAAAGTAATGTCTCTGCTTTTTGATATGCTATCTAGGTTGGTCATAACTTTCCTTCCAAGGAGTAAAGCGTCTTTTAATTTCATGGCTGCAGTCACCATCCACAGTGATTTTGGAACCCCCCAAAATAAAGTCTGACACTGTTTCCACTGTCTCCCCATCTATTTCCCATGAGGTGATGGGACCAGATGCCATGATCTTAGTTTTCTGAATGTTAAGCTTTAAGCCAACTTTTTCACTCTCCTCTTTCACTTTCATCAAGAGGCTTTTTAGTTCCTCTTCACTTTCTGCCATAAGGGTGGTGTCATCTGCATATCTGAGGTTATTGATATTTCTCCCAGCAATCTTGATTCCAGGTTGTGCTTCTTCCAGCCCAGCATTTCTCATGATGTACTCTGCATATAAGTTAAACAAACAGGGTGACAATATACAGCCTTGACGTACTCCTTTTCCTATTTGGAACCAGTCTGTTGTTCCATGTCCAGTTCTAACCGTTGCTTCCTGCTCTGCATGTAGGTTTCTCAAGAGGCAGGTCAGGTGGTCTGATATTCCCATCTCTTCCAGAATTTTCCACAGTTTATTGTGATCCACACAGTTGAAATATGGATATATTGTATTTAATCAGTCTCCTGTGGTTGGGCAGCTAAGTTTCCATTTTTCACTACTTTAAACAACTTGATGAATGTACTTATAACCAAACTTTTTCTTATTTCTAGATGGCCACATCTGAAACTTCACACCTATGATATTTCCTATGTTGTTATACATATCTTGGAGGAAATTCATACTCTTCTGTGAAGGTTTCATAATCTGTAGGTAGTTACTCTCCTCTGTCTTGTAACACTGAGGGTATAGCTTTATTCACAGTCCTTTTCCTGTGTGGTATGAGGGACCATATTCAGGATAAGTTTCAGGAAAGTGGGCATTCAGTTTTCATAAGATTGTAAAGCAGGTAGATAGTGGATTTATCTAAATGCACCCCATCATCTAGATTATCTATTGCCATGTGTTGGAGGATGAAGAAGGTTATCTTGAGACCCAAAAACCAGGCAGCCAGCTCCATATTATCAATGGATCAGTTTATTGCCCGGTAACTCACAGGTTGGGATCAGGCGGACAATGATCTGGAAGCATTTGCAACTGCACTCCGCACTGCCAAAGGACCACTGCAACAGTTTTATATTAATTCACCTAGAGAAACAGGAAGTGCATTCTGAAGTCAAGATTTATGAATGGGTAATTAGTCTAGTCAAGGCTATGGCTTTTCCAGTGGTTAGGTATGGATGTGGGAGTTGGACTGTCAAGAAAGCTGAGCACCAAAGAATTGAAGTTTTTGAACTGTGGTGTTGTTGGAGAAGACTCTTGAGAGTCCCTTGGACTGCAAGGAGATCCAACCAGTCCATCCTAAAGGAGATCAGTCCTGGGTGTTCATTGGAAGGACTGATGCTGAAGCTGAAACTCCAGTACTTTGGCCACCTCATGGGAAGAGCTGACTCATTGGAAAAGACCCTGATGCTGGGAGGGATTGGGGGCAGGAGGAGAAGGGGATGACAGAGGATGAGATGGCTGGATGGCATCACGGACTCCATGGACATGGGTTTGAGTAAACTCCGGGAGTTGGTGATGATCAGGGAGGCCTGGCGTGCTGCGATTCATGGAGTCGCAAAGAGTCGGACACGACTGAGCGACTGAACTGAACTGACTTAGTCTTGGGCTTCCCTAGGGGCTCAGAACTGTAAAGAATCTGCCTGCAATGCGGGATACCTGGGTTTGATCCCTGGGTTGGGAAGATCCCCTGGAGGTGGGTATGAAAGTCCGCTCACAGTATTCTTGCCTGGAGAATCCCATGGACAGAGGAGCCTGGCAGGCCACAGTCCATAGGTTGCAGAGTCAGATGTGACTGAAGCGACTTTAGCACAACTAGTCTTGTGGGTGCCAGGAATACATCAGGGAAGGTCTTCATCATTGTTTGGGGACTAACAGAGCATAAAGGCCACCTGGTCCTAATAATTATTGAACAGTATTAACTGCAAAGCTCTTGATGACAGAGAAGTGATTTACCACACAGTACAGTCCTGGGTAGGGCAGTGGAAGGGCAGGAGGAACTGTACATGCTCAAGGTGGCATTGGTGTGCTAACAACCATACAACACTCCAGAACATTAAATAATACCCGAAAATGCATTTCATTAATAACAAAGGCAAGTCCATTCTCACCTTGGAATAGTGCCTCTGGACAAATTTGGGAACCATCCTTAATAGTTTGCAGAAAAAGCAAGGTAAAAGACTCATCTCTGAAAGGGAGCAGGGTAAACATCATGAGTTAGAAACTGCCTGGCACAAAATAGTGCCTGAAATATTTGTTGCTGAATGAATTAGTCTACTTCTGTCACCTTTTCCCAGGGGCTAGATCCAAATAGATGGCAGGAAGATAGGGCTTATTTAGAGTTGAAGATCTTCCCACATTTCTTCTTTGAGCAAGTCAAAAGAAGTGAAAGGTAGATGGCTTTCTACCATAGACTTTAAGATGGAGAATCACAGGATGATAGTCACATTCTTTTAACCAGGTCCATAACTTATGGGAACTTTTGAACAGGTTAACACATTTAGATGTGTAACAAGAGGCACCAGATGGATTCTGATTCACACATCCGGCCAGGCTGAGCCCATGTTCCCTGCACTTGTGGAGCCCAGATTCCTTCGAATAGTAGAAGTTCCAATAGCTATGAGACAAATCCGGACTGAGCCCACAGTCCTCATTTATTACAATGCGGCTACTGATATCAGTAGTTATGAAGCTTAAATGGGACAAAGAATCAAGGTATTTGCCTATGTCGGAGATTTTAAAGCAGATCTCTCCTACGTAGGCTGCAAACTGGCAGCACTCTGAGTGTTCCATAAATCCTGGGTCCCATTCCGTACTGCGTTGTGCTGTGCTTATTCGCTCAGTTTCCGACTCTGGGTAAACCGTCGGGCTCCTCTGTCCATGGGATTTCCCAGCAAGAATACTGGAGTAGGTCGCTAAGCCTTCCTCCAGGGGATCTTCCCAACCAAGGGATCGAACCCAGGTCTCCCTCATTGCGGGCGGATTCTTTACCGCCTGAGCCACCAGGGAAGCGCTTTTAATCAGTCTGGCGTGCTGCCTGGGCACGGTGTTTAACGCAAAAGAAACAAATAAAAAGCCTCTCTACTGAGCACGCAGGACTGAGGACCACCGGCTCGGAGACTGTCAAAGTGACTCTGGCTGATCGAAACCTCGCCTCCGTGCTCTCGCGAGGAAGTTCGGGTACCGGAAGTGCCCGGAAAGCGCGCGGCGGCGGCGCCGCCGGCGCGGGCAGCGAAAGCGGGAGGCGGAGGCCGAGGCCGTCTCGGCCGCGTTGGCTGCGGTCGCTGGTACCGCCGCCGTTGGGGCTCTGCCGGAAGGGCCCGGGACGGGAGCGGCGCCGGGCCCTGGCAGAGCGGCCGCGGGGGGCCCCAGCCAGCCTGCGACTAGGGAAGTCGTTGCAGGGCTGTCCCCATGTTGCGTTTCCCGACCTGTTTCCCATCCTTCCGGGTGGTGGGGGAGAAGCAGCTGCCGCAGGAGATCATCTTCCTGGTCTGGTCACCCAAGCGGGATCTCATTGCTTTGGCCAACACCGCGGGCGAGGTGAGTGAGCCGGCGCGCGGCCACGAGGACACCGCGCCCGGGCCGCCCGTCCACCCCGCCCCTCTCTGCAGTCCCGTTGCATAGTCTAAGTGAATATAAGGGACCATACACATTTCGTACACCCATTTCCCGCATTCTGTGGCCAAAACAAGTTTTCACACAGCTTTACACAACCACACGGTCCTGCATCCCGGAGACTCTCATAGTTATTTGTTAAATGGGCTTTTTAAAGGCTCAGGTATCACTCATGAGTTGACAAGAGTAGTGGGTCCACAGATTCCGCCCTTCCTTTACTTACAGTTCAGGCAGAAGAAAAGTGAGTTGTCAGCTGTGAACATACATGTCTGTAGCTGCCACAGAGGATGTTTAAGAATCTATTCTGTTGTCCAACATTCACAGTGTTGGTTGGTTGGCCACCTCCCATTAAAAATACCTTTAAATTGAAACAAGAGAGTGATGCTTCAGCTGATGGAATGTGCCTGATTCACTGATTCCTGATGGAATGTGCCTGAGTGTTGTCAGTATTTCTGGTTCTCATTACACTTCGTCTTTCTGCTGAAAGTTTTTAACTACTTGGCAGACATTTTGTAAGGAAACCTTCACCTCTGTGTCTTTACTCCTTTGGCCTTTTGGCAGGTGTCCTGATAGTTACTTGGCCAGGTGGGAGTTGTCTTCAGCCAGGCTTGGAAACTAGTTGGAAACGGGAACTTAGCAGCCAGAGAAACGTAGCAGCCTGGAAAGCTCTGTTGACTGTCATGGCTTTGTCGCCAGGGTATTGATGTCTGCTTTCTCAAAGCCCTCTGTGAAATCTAGTCTCCCTCCGTATCCGGAGTGTTCTGGAATTCTGTCATGGCTCTTGAGAGGATTGCAGTTCCTTCAGTCACAACTGTAGGAGGGAAGGGAAAAAATAGGAGCATCAGTGTGCCCAGATGAGTAGGTGTAATTGTGGGCACTTGTTGCTTCCATTTTCTTCGTGAAGAAGAAAGGGCACTGTTTAGGAGCGAGGACGGAGAAGAAAATATTGGAATTTTTAGGAGGGAAGAGAAGTTTGAAGAAGCCGACAAGGCAAGTGGACTAGTGAATCTAATAGGATTGTTCTTCAGTATTAAAAGGCACGTGAGGTTAGTGGTTCTATAGTGAAACTAGTGATCATGGTTGTGTGTCTCTTCTGTTCAGCTGTATGCAGGCGTGGTTGGGTTTAACCAGAGTTGTGACAAAGGGTGAAAGCAAGAGATGCAAGGGAGTCGAAGTTATGTACAAGAGGAGTGATTGTAATGATGGACTTTGGATTCTAACCTGATTAAGTAGGGAAGTGAGGTCATGTGTGGGGTGAGGGACAGAGAATCGGTGGTAGACTCACTGGATTGTATGTCTTGGTGAGGTTGAAGAATTGAAGTTGGGTATTAGTAGGGGTGAGCAGGAAAGATACAGACAGTGATGGAAAGTGGGAAGTTTGCAGCTGAAGGTTATGGCAGCATTTGTAGTTATCAGTAATGACAGTGTAACAGACATGACCTGAGGTGAGGTAGAAGCTGTGATCATTGAAGAAGAGGTAGTTGAGAACCAACAAACCAGGACTTTGTTGCTCTTGAAATCACCAGAGATGATGATGCGTAGTGTTGGAAGGTATGAATTAGCCAGTGCCTGCGTGTGTGCTAAGTCGCTTCAGTTGTGTCAAACTCTCTGTGACCGGATGGACTGTAGCCTGCCAGGCTCCTCTGTCTATGGGATTCTCCAGGCAAGAATACTGGTGTGGGTTGCCATTTCCTTCTCCAGGGAATCTTCCCGACCCAGGGATTGTACCTGAGTCTTCTGCTTGGTAGGTAGATAGATTCTTTACCGTTGAGCTGCCTGGGAAGCTATATTCCTTTCTAAAACATAAGTCTCTTGTTGACATAAAAGTTAGGAAAATGTGTAGAGTACAGGGTTAAATTAGACCTTGTTTCACCCATTTCTTTGAAAATACCTTTAGTTCATCCAGACACTCTTGTCTTTGAATTTCTTCTGATGGCTAAATATACTTCGTACAATTTTTAAGAAATTTTATAGTGGGGATTTAGATTTATTTTATTTTTGGAAATGGATGTTTTTATTGTCTGCCATTATATCTGTTTTGTCTTAGGTTTTACTTCATCGACTTGCAAGTTTTCATCGAGTTTGGAGTTTTCCACCAAATGAAAATACAGGAAAGGAAGTGACATGTCTGGCTTGGAGACCAGATGGCAAACGTAATGATATTATTGTAAAAATATGTTTTTGTTTTTCAGAGAGAGTATTCTATAAAAAGAACTTATTTACAGAAAGAATTTATTTTTCTTACAATGTACTAGAATTCTAAATACTGATTTGGAAACTTTGTTTTTTCAGATGCCTTATAGTGTTTTCATGGAACTCAGATTAATTCTGCCATCTTGTTTCATGGCAGAGATGTCTCTAAAATGAAATCTGACTTCTTAGCAAAGATAAGTCTAACAGGAAGTTTTTGGGGAATATACAGGGACTTTGGTTTTGTTCTTTTGCTGTCTTGTTCTGCACTGTTTGCCCAGAGCTTCATTTGCCGCTCACTGGTCAGTTCAGAGCCATCATGGCCCTTTTCTCCCCACGATGTGTTTTAGCGTTAAATGTGTGGTTTGCGAATATTCTCTCTGCACAAGTGTTTGCCTCACCTGAAGGACTGTCAGTTTTGACCCCCTTCCTCCAGTTTCCGCGTGATCTTACTCCTGTTGGTAGCCTGAAGGTCATAGCTTACCTTGCCGCAGCTCTGGGGCCTGAGCTCTCCTCTTCCATGTGTTGTTATAGTGATGCTCATTTGAGCTGCTGTCCATGTCCGGTCAGCACAGGAAAATGCTGCAAGTCACCTGTATCATTGGTGCCTAAAAAAAACAAATTGTTTTTATAAAATGATATGTATTTCTCCTTGTTGCCTCCTTTTTTCCCTAGATAAATATAAGTATGTAAAAACGCCCTGAAAGACTGTCACTCTACAGATAACAGCTATTTTCATCTATATAAATTTTGTTCAGTTCTTGTTTCTTCTACTGAAAAAAAAATATGTGTGTAAAATTAGAGAACTTTTGTAAGTAGTATTTTGAGATCTTGCTCTCTTCATCCAGAAACATCAGGATCTCAAAAATCATGAAAGTCAGTGTGTGTGAAAATGTATTTAAGTAGGTGATATTTTTATCATTAAAAAATGTTTCCTGTTTTTGGACAGTAAAATAGGGCTTAGCTTGGTAATGATTATTTCAAGATTGCTTTAAATTGTTTTAAAGAAGAGGAGACTTGGATTGCCTCTCATCTCGCAGAGTTGTATGTATTCGTTACAGTGAAACACACAGCCTTCTGTCTAGACGTTCTTCAATTTTATATGTTAGGAAGATGTTAAAGACTTCTGTAGAGAAATAATACTAGATCATTCAGCCACAGTGAAAGAAGAAGACCCATTAGTATTTGATATCCCTGTTCAATAAGGGCTAGAAATTAAAAAGAGGAATAAAAAACCTTCCCAAGAACCAAGCAGATGGAATCATTTTTAAACTTTCAGGTGGGGACCAGTATGTCTTGGTGATACAATATTATTGTTTATATGTTGATGTCTGTTCTGTGTTTTCTGCTTGGCATCAAGGTTCCAGTGTAGAGGCTCTGATATATAAGACGTTAAGGACAGTACACAAGACAGTAGTAGATTGCTCACAAAAGTTTGAGCATTTGAAAATAAGTGTAGATAACAGCACAACTGTGTGCAAAGATACCTTTCAGTTTTTTACTTATTTAAAGGAAGGATTTAAGGGTTAAATTATTTCTATGATTATGAATATTTAAAATAGTAAAATTGGGCAAGAAATGAAATACCCATTTTTCTCTTAATATTACACTGACTTATTCTGATTATTTCTTCTTGTTTTAGTTTTGGCCTTTGCTCTTGCTGACACCAAGAAAATAGTCTTGTGTGATGTAGAAAAACCTGAAAGCTTGCACTCTTTTTCTGTGGAGGCCCCAGTTTCTTGTATGCATTGGATGGAAGTGACTGTTGAGAGCAGGTACAGTGATAAAGAAAAACCCCGCTGGTCCCAGTAGGATGTTCATGAAATTTTCGTTTTTTAAAAGTGGAAACTTAGGCGTATCTGAGGATTGAGTATGTGTATTTGCTTTTAACCTTTTGTCTTAAGCTTATCAAGATGAAATTTTTTTAAATGTTTCTTAAATTTCTTTCCCTTCTGGAAAAAAAATCTGTTTTATTATTGGAGCAGTAATGCCTTAATGGCCAAGATTTTTCTTTTTGTTTATTTTTAAAAGTTTATATCAATGACTTATACTTTCAAGTAATATTAGTTAAGATTGCTGTTTAGCAAATTAAGGTTCTGTTTTTCTTTTCACCATATATTTCATTCTGGAACTTTGTTTCTCTGTCTGAGTAAATACTCTTTGAATATGAAAAGTAGTGAATTGAGCATTTTGTTTTGATACTGAATGAGTTCTTTCTGTTTTTGTGGTCCCTATAGTTTCCTTATTTTGTGAAAATAATTTTGCCTTAGTCTGTGAAATCAAGTACTCTGCCATGTTTGCAGTAAAGATAGCCGAAAGGGTCAGTAGGCTTAGTGAATACTGAACATAAAAGTTTTGTTTTTTTTTTTTTTGGGGGGGGAAATAAGATCATTTTCTTCCTGTTAGCTTTTCTGTTCTAATTAAGTTTTAAGTTAATATCAAATGAATTTGTAAATCTGATTATTAATTTACAAATATCCTCAGGAGGGGCTTGTAAAATATTAGATAATAAGCTCTAACCTGGGGTTTGAAATTCACTGTAGATAAAACAAGGATTAATCTGTCATCAGATAATAGAGGTTGCAAGTGGTCATGTGAATTTATAGAGGAGCAGAGTATACCATGTGATTTCTGTCCCAGTCCAGTTACCTGCTAAGTGTATTCCTAACACACTTTCTTGTTAAAGAGTTCAGAAATGTTATATGGAGATTCCAGGGTCTTTCAGGACACCACTTTTTCACCTTATTCATTTCCAACTGTATTTGGAGGTAGGATTGAAAAAAATGGGAGGATAAATAAAACTGTTTCAAAATACGTGGTGTCGTCTGATACACACCTACTGGATTCTTGCATCTCCAAATGTGTGTAAGTCATAGAACCCATCATTACATTATGTAATAACTGCAGTGTTCTTTAAAATTACTCCTGGTACTCCTGTGTTCAGTGTTGGTTTTTAGAGGAGAGTTAAGGAATCATAAATTCTCAGTCCATATCTGGTACTGATACTGAATACATATGAATGCATTTCATATACTGAGAAAATTGTTTATAAATATTTGTTCCTCTTAACATAGGCTGATTTTTTTTCTTTCAGAAATAAAGTTCAAGGTAAATGAAGAATTTCCAACTTTTTTATTTCTTGTTTGTGATTGTTAAATGCCATACACAGGTTTCCACTGTAAAAGTCACTATGTTTATTTAGTAATGTGTCATATGTAAAATTGGGCCTTTAAAAAATTAATATTTTTTAACGGAAAGAGAAGTAGAATCTTTGTTTTTGTAATACTTATTTTTGTTTTGTCTAATTTTCCCCTTTGTAGTGTTCTAACATCCTTTTATAATTCTGAGGATGAATCAAATCTTCTCTTACCTAAACTTCCTACATTGCCGAAAAAGTAAGTATCAGAGTTTAATCTCATTAGAATTAATCTTGCAAGTTTCTTTCTTGAAATTTTAAGAAAAAGTTTCTTTCTTTTACTTTTAGCACTGACAATTTTCTCGTGTGTTTTATAAAAATGCATTTCTATTGAGAGTTTTTTTACCCTAATCTGTTTTTTTTTTTCTAGTTATAGCAACACCTCAAAAATATTTAGGTAAGGTATGCCTTTTTTGTTTTCAAGTAAGATAAATCTTTTATTATTTGAAGCATATAGTTGAAAGATAACCCAACTTATTTTTATATTTTAGCGAAGAAAATTCTGATGAAATCATTAAGCTTTTGGGAGATGTCAGGTAAATCTTGCAGATATCTTAAATAGCAAGTTATATTTTCTTAAATTTGATACTTGAGGCAGTTTTTAGACCAGAGTTCCAAAGATATTTTCTTTGTCATTTTATTTCATTGCTGACAAATACCTCTGAACAATAAACAGACAGTATCTATTATTTGCTCATTTTTATTGTATGATATTTGTGTCAAGTTTAATATTATGGTATACTTTCATTTTAAAAAAGTAAAGGAGGATAGAAGTGCTTGAGTTTCTGAAATTTAAATTGAAATCTTCAGGTTCTTTAAGCCCGTTTAATATGTTTAGCATCAGGGCCATAATAAAACTGATGGTACTTCATATTAACTGGAACAGAGATGATCTTGTTATTGAGGGCATATAAATAACAATTGTCATTAAAATAATATATTCTTATTTTACTGTAAACTGAGGTTTTTTTAGGCTGAATAAAATTTATGTGCTTCTTTTGGGGGGAAAAAAAGGAATAAGCCTAATGTGAATGAAAGTTGGTGAATTTGTTTATAGGTTCAGTCTCCCTGCTAGGGAGCTTGAGTGTGCAGATTATATGAGGGCAGCAACAACTTGTATCTTGGTGTAAGAACTCGGTTCTCTCTGTTGTCCTCAACTTGTTGCATTATTTTTAATTAGGCTTAATATTCTTGTCCTTGGAGGAAGCTCTGGTTTTATTGAGCTTTATGCTTATGGAATGTTCAAAATTGCTCGAGTCACTGGGGTAAGTTTTTCTTTAAGATTCTCTATTTTTGCCTTAGATTGTAACAACTGACTGATTTATGGAAAAGAATAAAACATTACTTTTTTCCTCAGTTTCATTTCTTGGAATTACTTGTTCTTAAATGTTAAGAGGATAATTTTCTTACTAAGATAAAATAGTGATATGATGTCTGTGAAGATCAGAGGTTCTTAGTGGAATTAGTCAAAAATTTTTTTCTTAACAAAAAGATTAGTAGGGCACTCTTGATTATGATTTAATGTCTTTCTAGCCTTGCGTGTTAGAGCTCCCATTTGTGATTGGAATGCGATGAAAGCCATTAGGAGCGATCTTAGGCTCGGTCTTGGTCTTCTCCATACCTTTTTCTTACTCTTACAGTTCCCTAAAAGGGTGGAAGATGTCGTAGGCTCTGTGGGCTGTGTTAGTTATTTCTCCAGCACTGGGGCGCTTTGTTGGGATCTGTGTCTCTGTCCTTGCAACCAAGTGGACACGTGCCTTTGCGTATGTGGCAGGAGTTACTGCTTTCAGAGCTCTGAATTTGGCTTCCTGTGTTGTAAGCAGATGCAGGGTAGCGACAGCACTAAGTATAATGGGGATCTGACTGTTTTACAGATCGTTGGTGCTTGTCTGGCGTTATGTCTGTCAAGTGATTTGAAATCATTGTCAGTGGTCACAGAAGTTTCTGCCAGTGGTGCTTCAGAAGTTTCATATTTTCAGGTGAGTATTTGAACCTAGCAGAGAGTAAGTATATATTTTTAAAGGTTTGATTTTTATTATCCATATCACTGGATTCTAATGGTCATTAAAACAAAGCAAAAAATTGACTTGGAGCTTCTAAATCTTAGAGTGTTACTGTTGGATATCTTATTATTCCAATTGCTCACATAATTTTCATCAAAACGGTGTTTTGATGGTCTCTTAATGACCAATATTAACTTGTTGCTATACCAGTTCATGTTTTTAACACATGTTTTCTTGGGATTATGACCCTATAAAAGCCAGTAGTTATTAATTATTTAACATGTGCCCAGTACTGAGTAATTCGGTATAATTTTATGTGAATCCTCACAGTAACCTAATAGGTAGGCACTATTATTGTCCCCATTTTGTAGTTGGGTAAATGGCACGCAGAGGAACTGCAACTTGCTTGGTAAGGACTGGAAAGTGATGCTGGGCAGTCCGGCGCCAGAGCCGGCGCTCTTAACTAACACATTGCGTCCTGTGTGAGATGCCTGCTTAATGCTGGGGAAAACCTTTTCATTGTGTGCTGTTTGTATCATAGCCTGTGGAAACTGGGCTCCTACAGAGTATTTAGATTGTAGCTTTGCCTTTAAGAAAATCTTCCCTAAAATTTCATCTCAAGTAACCCAGCCACTTAGTCTAAGTATGTGTGAACTCTCATACAAAAGTAGGACGAAAAGATGCAGGATGTGACGCAAATGAGCCCTTATAGTTTCATTGTATTCACAACAGCAGAGAGCTCTTGACTTCCTGCTATTTGCTGGAACAGTTTTTCATGTTTGCTCTTCATCTTAAGCTTCTGTGAAAATACGATTTCCTGAATTGTGTTTGGTGCTATAGTGAAATAATTCACTCTTTATGTGGAATTTGTAACAGATGTTTTTAATAACAACTTTATTATGACAATTCATGTACCTCTATAATAGATAGTTAACTTGTTTTTATCAGTAGCTATAATTCCTTAAAAAATTTTTAGATATTTGTGATCATTTTAAAAGTCCCTCATAATAGTGGTATAAATTAGATTATTACATTTATTCAAACTAAGTAGAGAGGACTGCTAACCTATAGGGGATAATCTGTACATAGTTAGACACTACAGATGAGAGAATCCTAAAATTATATTCTGTTATTTTCCAATTTGTTATACTGAAAAGGAGCAAAATTCTGAGGTAGTCTTTCTTTTTTTTTTCCGTCTATTTTTATTAGTTGGAGGCTAATTACTTTACAATATTGTAGTGGTTTTTGTCATACATTGACATGAATCAGCCATGGATTAACATGTATTCCTCATCCCGATCCCCCCTCCCACCTCCTTTTCCACCCGATTCCTCTGGGTCTTCCCAGTGCACCAGGCCCGAGCACTTGTCTCATGCATCCCACCTGGGCTGGTGATCTGTTTCACCCTAGATAATATACATGTTTCAATACATTGAAATGAATTAGCCATGGATTTACATGTATTCCCCATCCCAGTCCCCCCTCCCACCTCCCTCTCCACCCGGTCCCTCTGGGTCTTCCCAGTGCACCAGGCCCTTATCTTTCTGGCTTACTTCACTCTGTATAATGGGCTCCAGTTTCATCCATCTCATTAGAACTGATTCAAATGAATTCTTTTAAATGGCTGAGTAATATTCCATTGTGTATATGTACCATAGCTTCCTTATCCATTCGTCTGCTGATGGGTATCTAGGTTGCTTCCATGTCCTGGAAATTATAAACAGTGCTGCAATGAACATTGGGGTGCACGTGTATCTTTCAGATCTAGTTTCCTTGGTGTGCGTGCCCAGGAGTGGTATTGCTGGGTCATATGGCAGTTCTATTTCCAGTTTTTTAAGAAATCTCCACACTCTTCTCCATAGGGGCTGTACTAGTTTGCATTCCCACCAATAGTGTAAGAGGGTTCCCTTTTCTCCACACCCTCTCCAGCATTTATTGCTTGTAGACTTTTGGATAGCAGCCATCCTGACTGGCGTATGAGATAGTATGGTATGAGATAGTCTTTCTGATACAGAGTTACACCTTGACTTTTCTTTAAAAGTAGTAAATATATCTGTTTGTGACTCACTTTAGTATTTTGATTTGACAGCTTGAAACCAATCTATTGTACTCTTTCTTACCTGAAGTAACTCGAATGGCCAGAAAGTTTACTCACATTTCGGCTCTTTTACAGGTATTTATTTATAGCTTGTTTTGTGTGACTGTTCACTATAAGTTTCTAATGTTCTGTAAATAAAAAATTGAAAATCTTACTTTTTAAAGACAGCTATACATGGCAGAGGTGTCTAGTCTGATAGATAAGCTTATAATGTCCACTGAAACAAGGAAAAGAAATTTAACTGAAAATCTCTTCCAGCACATCTCTATATCTGCAAAAGAAGAGAAAAATGTAGTTTTAAGTCTTTTTAAACATTCTTATAAATAAAATATTTTGTAATTTTAAAAGTTTCTTTGCAAATCAAGTATTATGGGAAATGGTCATTCTGACAGCTTTTGAATATAATAAATGTACCCCAGATTAGCTGGTGATTGGTGTTTTAGTTAGTTGACTGTTTGGGCCAGGCCCAGCTAGAAGGTTCTGTTGCTCTGGGCTAGGTTCAGCTATTCAGGCTGGTCTTGGTCATACAGCAGTGGTCAGCTGGCTGGTCCAAGTATCTCTTAGCCATGCTGTCTGTCTGAACTTCACACTCCCCATTTCCCAACAGGCTAGATCAGGCTTGTTGGGTAAGTGGTATTGACAGCGGGAATGTCAGGAGTGTAAGTGGAAGCTTGCAAAGCCTTCTGGAGGCTTGGACTCATTGACACTTGGGCTGCTTTGTCACTTTGAGACACACGGCCCGCCCAAATCCACAGACTCGAGAAACTGACTATCCATCTGGATAGAGGAGCTACAGAGAGCTGTGACCTTCGTTCTTCAGTCTGCCACAGTCACTAATGTACCTCATGTCAAAGATTTCTGGAGACCGGTATCTTTTTAAAAGGATACTGTTTGAAGATTGAATAGTTGACCAGTCAGCATTTTGACAGTTAATGTACATGGAACACATCGTATATGTAAAAAGTTGAAAAATATCTATTTTACCAGATAAAAACTTAATTTGAGAATGTTTGATAGTTAAATGATTATCAAGTGTCAGCCATGGTCTCTTCTTTCTCAGGCTTAACTGAGTTAAAAGTGGTTTACAGTAAATCCTGGATTTCTTTGAGACAATTGGCAGTAAGAAGCATGTGTTATCTAGTTAGCATATTGACTTAAGTATTTTTTGCTATTTTAATATTTTTTCTTTTTGCTAATAGTATATAAATTTGTCACTGACATGTATGTGTGAAGCCTGGGAAGAAATACTGATGCAGATGGATTCTCGTCTTACCAAGTTTGTGCAGGTAATGTAACTGGAGTTTCCCATGGAAGGTGTTAAAGAGAGTATGATGTCCTTACTCAGTTCATGAGGGACATGAGAAAAATCGATCTGATTTGTTCAAGGCTCAGATCATTATTTCTTTGAGATGGCTTGACCTAGCCTCAAACTCTTGTCTCAGAGAGAGATATGCCAGTCCTTCCCATTGGAAAAACTTAGGTGGGGCAGGATTGTGAAGTGGAGCTGATAGGATGTGGGGATCAAGGACAGGTGTTGGATGAGCTAACTGACTGTTTTCTCATAACTGCTGTTCAGATAATCAGTTTAAATATGGATTTGAAAGAAGGTTAAAGGTAAGAAAGGGAGTCATGTTCTTGTAATTTTGAATAAATAATGCTTATATAAAAAACACCTATCATGAGTTTATCCATCTTTCTCTAGGAAAAGAACACAACCACATCAGTGCAAGATGAATTCATGGACTTGTTGTTGTGGGGGAAAGCAAGGTAATAAACTTACATTAGATGCTCTTGCTTTACCTTCTCTTTTTAAGGTAATTTATTTCAAAAGCAATTCATGTTCACTGTAAAAAAAAAAAAAAATAGAAAATTCTGATGCACAAAAAACAAAGAACAGTATGTATCTTTCTAGGCTTTTTTATTCACGTATTTGTTTTCTATGTAAATGTAATCATTTTATGTGTATGTATCATGTGTACATATATCTGTACTTTTAAAATGTATAAACAATTAAAAAATTTTATGTAGCTAAATCACTCTTTTCCTTTATTATATTTGCCTCAGCATTATTCTTAAAAAGATCTTTCCCATATTAAGCAGTCAAAGATCTTTATTTTCATCCAGAGATTTTTTTTGTGGTTTATGATTTTATTCCATTTACATGTTCCAGATATGATTTATTTGGTTGTATGCTATGAAAGACACAGCAACTTATTTTTTTCTAAGTGTCTCGATAATTGCCCAGTGTAACTTATTGAGTAGCATGTCTTCTCCTTATCGATGTGAAATACCATTTTAGTGTATAGCACATTTTCATGTCTATTTCAGTCTGTTTGTGGACTTTAATGTTTCCTGTTTTTGTCTGTTTTTCTGAGTACAACAAAGTCTTAAATTTTTTGGGCTATTTCTTTTTATTTGTTTAAAATCTTTTGTTTAAATTTGTACTTTGAAATTAAATGTTTTAAGTGATGCACTCAGATTTTAAATAGAGAAGACTAAAAATACTTTCTTTTTCATTCTAGTGCTGAACTTCAGACCCTCTTAATGAATCAGTTAACAGTAAAGGTGTGGTTATCTTTGTACTTTAATGGCTATGAACATAGTCTTATTTTTTTTTAGAATGGCATATAGTATCTTACTAGTATGCTAAATGTTATATTTTTTTCTCTTAATCAGGGCTTAAAGAAGCTTGGCCAGTCTATAGAGTCATCATATTCCAGTATACAAAAATTGGTTATAAGTCACTTACAAAGGTATAAAGATGACCTAGAATCTTTTGGTGTTGCATCTGCACATACTTAGCATTGGTTTTCTTTCTCCAGCCTTCTTCTGATTTTCTGGCATTCTCTATTTGAGCTTCTTCTGGCTGAAATTGTTGCCTTAGTATTTGAGGGGAATCTTGGAGTGCCCAAGATTTAAAGAATCGATGATAGTGACTTTGCTCTGTGAAATAAATTTCCAACATCTTTTCACCACCCTAGGCCCTATCTGGGCTTTTTTCTCACCCAGACAGCCATGAGTTATGTCTTGAATAGGGCATATACGCTTTTTTGAGTGGTGAAATTAAGTATGTTTGTATATCATTTTATATGTTATATAAAAGCATGTTGCACATTTTTGCATATAAGTCCTTGGCAAGGTGTTGGTTGTGATTATCCTCATTTTACATAAGAAGAAACTGAAGTTCAGCAAGGGCATATGGCTGCCCCAAAGTTATTACGTGTCAGAGCCAAGACTGTTCCAGATCCTTAAGTCTCATGCCGTTTCTAAACACCGCTGCCTCAGTGATGCAGCTTGCAGGCTGATGCACAGTGTTTGACTTAGATTTTGATAGATTTCTTTGTGCTGATTCCCCTGGCCCTTACCTCCCTCTCTGAGCTCTCTGGGGCTGTCTGGCCTGGTCTCCTCCAGTCCACACTGTGTCCCTCAGATGTGCTCTCCACAGTGGATCTGATCATGTTACTCTTAGTAAAAGCTTCCAGTGCCTTCCCACATCTTAGGACCCATGTCTTTGGTGGCCTTCTCAAACTTGACACTTTTTTCTCCTAGCCAGGGCTCTTGTGCGTCTCTTCTGCTTTTTGAAACACTCCCACTCTATTCTTCACTTGCCTTTTCCAGCTCTCAGCTCAGATGTTCAGAGAATCCTTCTCTAATTCCCAGACTTGTTCTGGTTCTTCTCTTTCTCCTGTACCTGCCGTGTTTTCCTCTAAGGCCTTTATGTAGTTGAAATGGTATACTGTCTGATTATGTGGTTATGACTGTCTCCCCCATTAGACTATCAGTGTTAAAAGGACCCTTTCGTTTTGTTTACCATGAAGTCCCCATAGTGCCTGACCTGAAGTTGGAGTTTAATAAATATTTGCTCAGTGTTAAATACATAGCTGTTAGGTGAACAAGATGACCATATGACTATCTTAACAGTGCCAGGACCAACTGTGGAACATAATTTGATCTTATAAAGTTTAATCATGTGGCCAGTTCATCTCACCAGTCATGACAACCAAATGATTCTGCTACGGTTTTTTGAAATAACTTTGAGAGCTGATAGTCTCTCATAGAAAGAAAATTAAAGTTACTTTCAGTTTTTATTCTTGAAAACTTAGAAATATTCAAGCAAGATAGCAGGCGCCTGCCACCCTGATGATGGTGGTACTAATTGATTTCTGCTCTGTGTTTGATAGCGGCTCAGAGTCTCTATTATACCATTTGAGTGAACTGAAAGGAATGGCTTCGTGGAAGCAAAAATATGAACCTCTTGGACTAGATGCTGCAGGCATTGAAGGTGGTAATTTAATTTCTCAATAGAATGCTTTAAACTCACTTTACTTATTGGACAAATGATATTTACTTATTTACTTCTTTCCAGATGCTATTACTGCAGTAGGTTCTTTCATACTCAAGGCAAATGAACTTCTTCAGTAAGTATTGGGGATACTTGAATATTGAAATCATTGACTTGAGAATATTTCACTTTTTGTAATTGAGAATCTAGCAAATTGTTGTGATTTTCTTAAAATGAGATTTTAAGTTCTTATGAAAATTACATGTTTATAGGATTAAAACAAACCAATAGCACCGTGATTTCAAAAATTCACATGGTATTTTCCTATCTCACCCATCCTCACCTCAGGTCCTCTCTTCAGAGGGAATCCTTTAAACTCTTGTAACTGTTTCTGGTTTTAGTTCTGTAGGTTACTTCCATATTTCTAAATCGTATGACTGTACTGCATTTCTTTTATTTATCAGTTTCTAGAAATTATTCCTCTCTTTGTTTCTGTTTGTTTTTCTTAGACTCTTATTTGCTTTCTTTTTCCCTTGCACTGTCTCTCTTTACCACATTTTTAGGTTTTCTCCCTGTCTGAAGGGTAGTATCACATCCCTGGATTTCCCCTCTGTCCCTGGTGCCTCCTCTGATAGCCTCCCATCTCACAACACCCCCGCCCTCCACCACCCCCGAATCAGTCTGTCCGTTGGTTCCAGCTCTTGTGCCAGCTACCACCCAGGCATTTTCTTCATTGCTTTCATGGGTTGGAGCCTTACTTTCAGGATCTCCTCTGTTTCTTGGTTCATTTAATCACTTTGTGGAAAATGTCCTCCAATAACTTAGAAAACAGATGTGTAAGGGTACGCTTTCTGTGTCCTTTTGTGTCTTTTCTCCTTCCGCACTTAATTGACAGTTTGACTGGATATAGATTATGAAGGGAGATTTATTTTCTCTGAGAGCTTTGAAAGTGCTGCTCTGTTGTGTTCTGGCCTGTTTGTTGCTGTTGGAAGGTCTGGTGCTTCTGATTCTCATTCCTTTGTATGCTGTTTTTTTTTTTTTTCTTCTCTTGAAAACTTTATTCTCCGTCCTTGATACATTGAAATTTCACAGTAGTATTTTAAATGTGGGTCTTTCCATTCATTGTACTGATAATAAGAAAATGCTATTTTTAACCTGCATTCTGTTATATTATTATTTTGATAATTTCCTCTTCTCCCCCACTTTTTAAAACTAGATTTTTGTTCTAGAAATCTAGTCAGTCATATTAGACTTCGTGGATTGACCCTGTATGTCTTTTATTTTTACTCACATTTTTTTTTTTAGTAGCTTTGTCTTTACTGTTTCTTGTGAAATTTTCTTGACTTGATTATCCAGCACTGTCATTCATCATACACATTTATTGTGCATTTTTAACTATGTTTTAAACATTATTATAGATGCTGAGAGTATAGTAGTGAACAAAACTGATAAAAATCTTACCTTCATAGATACTGTATTCTAACATAATGAAACAGATATTAAAGAAATGAATAATTAAAATCTATAGCAGGTCAGATAGCTTCCCTGGTGGCTTAGAGGTTAAAGCGTCTGCCTGCAATGCGGGAGACCTGGGTTCGATCCCTGGGTCGGGAAAATCCCCTGGAGAAGGAAACGGCAACCCACTCCAGTATTCTTGCCTGGAGAATCCCATGGATGGAGGAGCCTGGTGGGCTACAGTCCACGGGGTTGCAAAGAGTCAGACACAACTGAGCGACTTCACTCACTCGCTCATAGCAGGTCAGATAGTGGTGCGTAGTGGTGGGGAAAACCGTGTGGGGAAGGAGGACCTAGGGTATGCGGGGGTAGAGGTGCAATTTTTTGGTCAGTGAGGGCCTTAAGGGAGGGGGGAGTGAGCCTTGCTGATATTTGGGGGCGAAGGGGACAGCAAGCATGAAGGCCTTGAGTTTGGAGCACGCCTGGTGTACTGGAGGGGGACCTTTAGGAGCCACTAAGTGTTGTTAGTGAACTTAACGACAGTGTGAGCGACAAGATGAGTTGAAAGAGGTCATGGAGGGTGGGTCAGATTGTGTAGAGCCTGTAGGCCGTTGTAAGGACTTTGGCTTTTACGCTGGACATAATAAAGAATAACATAAGCTCTTAAGGAATTACAGGCTGTGGGGGAACAGGATATGACTTAGGATCTTTTTGATCCCTCTTGTTATTTACTTAGTGTTGAGAACAGATTATATGAGGGCAAGGACAGAAGCCAAGAGAGAATTGGTGGTCAGAATCTGATATGGTCAGAACTTTAGTATATTTTGAAAGTAGAAATAAGTGGGTAAGAGACAGTGAAAGATGGGAGAACTAGTAGGGTAAGTCTTGGTGGTATGACTATTGGGATGCTGGCAAGAAGTCACTGGAAAGATAGCTGGTGGTTGTTGTTGAGTAGGATGCTTGAAATTGAGTTTTAGAAGGCTCAGGTTGGTAAAGGGGGTCTAGGTTGTGAACTTTGGAATAAGAACCCAGGTGGAATGGAGAATGAGGTCATTGACCTGAGCCATGCTGTTGCATGTTTTATTATGGCAGTCCTGTCTTTTAATTACTAAGTGTTTTCTTTTTTGTTTACTCATTTTTCAAAGCAGTGCTCTTGCTCTGTAGATATGACATTTCATGGCTCTCTGAGGACATTAATTAGATTTTCTAAAAGTTTGCTGCTTCCCGAGTCATCTCCTGTTTATATGTCACCTTGCCGTTTGTTTTGGTCTCCTGTTGCCAGCTTTCTTCAGAAACCTGATGCCCGACTGTTTCCTCATACTTACTCCCGAGGCAGTTTAAAGTTGCTTGGCATCGCTGGGTGCGGGGTGGGCCGAAGCCAGACGAGTGCCAGAGCCTGTGGGCCTGTGCTGTGTCCCTCTGTTTCCGTTTGTCCCTGCTTATCCAGCCCCAGATGGCATCCCAATGTCTTCTGTTGAACTTGATGTTTATAAGGGCTGAGTGTCCCCGGGGTTCTGCTGGGTGGATGACTGCTTGCCGCCCTCTCTCTGAAGTGCCTCGAGTGTGGCCACTGCTGGTGAGCGTCACCAGTCACCAGTCTTCTGTCTGCTTTTGACATTTCTGAAACTTAATAAAACCTTTTTTTCTATCATCCTCTTTGTGTATGAGTTTATAACACGTCCATCCCTCCCCACTGTTGTTTTAATGGAGTTTAGTATATAGATGTGTGTGCTCAAAGAACAGAGCAGGAGGGAAATGACATTCCTTTTCCTGAATGTTGAATAATTTTGTGGTTCTGCATATTTGCAGAGTAAACATAAAATACTAAATTTTCTGTGATCATGTTTCAATATGAATGAAAGGTTGTTGATTTAACTTCTTGCTCCTTGGAGATAAGTGAAATATAGCCTTATTTTGGATTATAATGGAGAAACTGAAACAGTGAGAATTTTAACATTAGCCTATAACAGATCAGTGGTTGCCTGGGATTGGGGTGAACTGAGAAAGACAGGAATCTTTTTTTTTCCCCCCATTTTTGCTGCAAGAGAGTTTTGATCATGGTGCTTGGTAACGCAAGAGATGTCACAGTTTTTTATGTCACGTGTTGTTGTGTACAGAAAGGTTAATGATACTGACCTACGTCTCCAGTAGTATTATGAGACTTCATGCTTAGAAGGGACTTTGAGATTTAGGGGTAAAAAGGGCACATATTATTTGCGTAGAGTAATTATCTTACAGATGTGAGCTTAAAGAGCTTTTAAAAAAGTGATATCCATTTCTGTATTCAGAAACAGTGTCATCATAGTGTAGATGACTTCCACTTATAACACTTAATCTTCAGGGTACATTTGTGTAAAGCCCAAGGAAATTTGATTTTTGAGATCTGTTACTGTAAGGATAAAAATATCAACTTCCATAAGTAATGTCTTATTGATATCAGAGGTAATGGTAGTGACATAGTATAAATTTATAATAATGATTTTCTGTTATGGTTGATATTTTTTCTTCTTACTGATCAGTGATTTTTTTAAAAAACTGAGAATAGTGCTGAAAACTGTTTTTGGTGTTTTTTTTTTAATTTCTTTTGGTTCCAAAGTTAGAAAAGGATTTCATACTTTATTGAATGCTCAGAGAGTCTATTACAGTTTGTGGCAAGGCTGTTATAACCAGTTAGAATCTGAGTTATTTGCTTTATTTTTGAAAAGAATCAGGATTTGCTCTTTTGAAATTTTATTTTTAGCTATGTGATTTGTTAAATCTGTTCTAAAGCTTTAACTGTCATCCAGATAGGCTATACTAGAACAGTAAGGATTATTATATTCCATAGTAATTGAACAATGATGTATGAACCTCATGTAATAATTTCATTTCTGATTTATTTTTATCTTTTAGAGTTATAGATAGCAGTATGAAAAACTTCAAAGCATTTTTTCGGTGGCTGTATGTGGGTAAGTTAATTGAATGAAGCATTCTTGTATTTTTAACACTTTTGAAGAAAAAATGTGGGAATATCAATTTGGAATATTCACTTACACTAGTAAAATTTTAAATACGTGTCAGTGTTGAGAGAATAATTTCAATGACCCCACTTCTACACTTCACTCAGTTTCAGCAGTTTTCAACACATGGCCAATCTTATTTCTTCTTTATACCCTCCCATCCCCACCCCCACAGATACAACTTCTAACATTGATTGTCTCTATCACTTACTGATAATTGACCTTTTTTTACTCTTTAATGTCTCCTTACAGACATGGGGTCTGAACTGAATTGAACTGAACTAATGTCTCCTTAGGTTCAAATGCCATTCTTTAATCTCTACTTTGTATTAGGCACTGTTAGGTGTTAGGTTTGGAGTGGAAAGGGGGAGAGAAAATAAGACAAAGCCTCTGTCTTGAATAGTTTAACTCCTGTTTTATACTTTGATCCTGTCTCTAGATCTGTGCCATTCATTATGGTAGCCACTAGGCAGTTATGGCTGTTTAAATTAGTGGAAATTACGTAGAATTGCATGTGCAGTTCCTTAGTCATGCTCGCCGCGTTTGGAGCGCTCAGGAGCTGCTTGTAGTTAGTGGCTGCCACGTTGGACAGCACAGAACTAGAAATTTGACATTATCACTTCTCCTGGGCGGTGACGCCCTAGCTAAATAGATCGCAGACCACTAGTCCTTCCTTGTGTCGCCACATCTCTTTGCAGTTGTATGTAATTAACAAATAGTTACTGACATGATACTAAATGTTTTAATGCTCACCCTACAGGGTGTGCATACTTAATGTATGTAGTCCATTTGTACTGCTATTTTTGTGACCTCTCTTAATGTCTTTGAAATAATTTAGCATCCGTTTCCTTCCAACACATGGAAAATTTAGTTGTAAATAGAATTTATTCCATAGTTCTTAAAATTCTAGAGTAAAATAGAAAGTAAATTACCTGTAATATGCTAATATCCTTTTAAACAAATGCCCAAATCTTTTTTTAATTAATTTTTTCCAAATCTTTAATTCTCATGTTTTTAAAACATGACTTTTCATATTTGTAAGCCTAATATAATTGCTTTTAATAAAAAAATGAATGCAATCAGTGAATGTTGACATTTAAAATTCTTAGATTTTTCTCAAAACCATACCAACACTAGCCAGAATGGGGAGCCAGAGTGTTTATCAGGCCAGCCTGTTTAATATCAGAGTTAATGAGAATAAATTGCAATGTTAAAATTAAATGAAACCCTAGAAGTGACTTTCTATTAGAGAAATAGTAGCTTGGTTTTACTTACAATTACTGGAGTAATTAGGCAGTTTATATTCTTATTGCATGTCCTAACTGTAATAAGAAGCTGCATTAGAAGGTAAATGAGTTACCACCCAGTCCTTATCTAATATTAGAACAAAGCGCACTGAATTGACCCCTGGGTCGGGATGAGACCCTGCAGAAGGACATGGAAACCCACTTCGCTGTTCTTGCCTGGGAAATCCCCTGGGCAGAGGAGCCTGGTGGGCTACAGTCCATGGGGTTGCAAAAGAGTCGGACAGGACTTAGTACTGAACAACAAAAAAACCCCTGGATTGGAGAACTAGAGACCTAACTGTAACTGGATGCTGCCACTCGTTAGCGCTCTAACCCTGGTTTGCTCTTTTGTAAAATGCAGTCTCCATGAAGACAGGGATTTATTTATACTGCTTTGTTCCCAGTACCTGTGTTATGCTCAGTAAGTAATTTTTGAATGGATAAATGAATGAGTGGAAGTAGATTATGGCTGGGTTTTTTTCTTCAGATAAATTAGAAGTCTGAATTAATTAAAAACAGTTTCTTAAAATAATCCCTATTTGCAGAATCATGTCTAACGTGTTTTTTCCTGACCAAACATAAGAAACGTATTCAAACACTATGCAAAACACATGCAATGTACTTCCTCACTTAGGTGGATGTAATATGTATAGAAAACACAGTATTGATGAAGACACCCCATGAAAGGACACAAAGGGTCAACCACAAATATTAAAAAAGGTATATAAATACATATATACACACGTTTAAGTGTATGTGCTGCTAAGTCACTTCAGTCGTGTCCAGCTGTGTGTGACCCTACAGACGGCAGCCCACCAGGCTCCCCCATCCCTGGGATTCTCCAGGCAAGAACACTGGAGTGGGTTGCCATTTCCTTCTCCAATGCATGAAAGTGAAGTGTATATATGGTTAATATATGTGTTGTATATATGGTAAATATATATGTGGTTAATATATAGGTCTTCAATATATATGTGTGGTTTACATACATACATACATGCATACTTACACACACATATATATATATATATATGTGCGTGTGTGTGTGTGTGTGTGTGTATATATATACCTTCCCTCTTTTGGTTAACTACTGCTGCTGTTGCTAAGTCACTTCAGTCGTGTCCGACTCTGTGAGACCGCATAGAAGGCAGCCCACCAGGCTCCCCCATCCCTGGGATTCTCCAGGCAAGAACACTGGAGTGGGTTGCCATTTCCTTCTCCAATGCATGAAAGTGAAAAGTAAAAGGGAAGTCGCTCAGTCGTGTCCGACTCCCAGCGACCCCATGGACTGCAGCCTACCAGGCTCCTCCGTCCATGGGATTTTCCAGCCAAGAGTACTGGAGTGGGGTGCCATTGCCCTCTCCGATAGTGTGTATCAGTTCAGTTCAGTCACTCAGTCGTGTCCGACTATTTGCGACCCCATGAATCTCAGCACGCCAGGCCTCCCTGTCCATCACAGACTCCCGGAGTTTACTCAAACTCATGCCCATCGAGTTGGTGATGCCATCCAGCCATCTCATCCTCTGTCGTCCCCTTCTCCTCCTGCCCCCAATTCCTCCCAGCATCAGGGTCTTTTCCAATGAGTCAACTCTTCGCATGAGGTGACCAAAGTATTGGAGTTTCAGCTTCAGCATCAGTCCTTCCAATGAACACCCAGGACTGATCTCCTTTAGGATGGACTGGTTGGATCTCCTTGCAGTCCAAGGGACTCTCAAGAGTCTTCTCCAACACCATAGTTCAAAAGCATCAGTTTTTCGGCACTCAGCTTTCTTCACAGTCCAACTCTCACATCCATACATGACTACTGGAAAAACCATAGCCTTGGCCAGATGGATCTTAGTGCAAGCATCTTTATGTGGCAGAAAAGTCCAAGGGGAAGAAACACATCTGTCTGGCATTCTAAGGCTTTTGGAGGAAAGAAAGAATTGCCTGCACATTTTAAGAGAAGAAACATGTCTAAGTTAGGAGGGATTCCTGTACACACAGTCTTTGCTAAAGGTAGCAGTTTGGTTTGTTTGTCTGGAGTGTCAATGGGTTATTTTGAAGGAGAAAACGAAAAATGGTTTAAAATGGCTATACCAACCGTTTTGAGCCTAAGAATACAAATCAAATTCTTCACTCTGTAGTTCTTAGAAGAAAAATAAGTTTTCCTTGGTGACAAGAAGCTGTTGAAAATAGAAACTGTAGTCCAGTAAAATACATTTAGACTTGAAATGCATCTGTAATTAAAATTATGTTTAGAGTTTTCCTTTAAAGATAGTTTTAAACTTTATATTTTCAGCAATGTTGAGAATGACAGAAGACCATGTACTTCCTGAACTGAATAAGGTAGTATATAATAGTATTTTTCCTATATGCGTTAATATTACCCTGGTTGAGCTCAGCTTTGCTGGTCATCTTAGTAGTCTTATGCAGTTATTGTTAAGAGATGTTAGGCTGTAGGCACAAGAGAGATTCTAGTAAACCCTTTTTAAAATTTGCGTGTTTGATATTTTTTATCTCACAGAATACTTTTTTATGGCTAAGCTTATTGTTTTCATGTTTGTATAAGATTTTATAGTCTGTATAACATAAGGTATTTGGAATCCTTATTTTAACTTCCTAAAATCTTAAGTGCATTTTTATTTTCCTTGAAAGTCTAATATGTAGATATTAGAATCTATGTTCATGACTGGTGAGTACCAGTTTCTTTCTGACTGTAATAAGGATTGTGTGACAGGTAGCAATGGAATCTCCTTCCTGGAATATCCTACAGAATAGGCTAGAATTAGCTTTTGGTTCCTGCAGCTCTCTCATCCTCACCCCTCCCCAAACTGTGATTCAGGTAGTTTAGGTGGTTTTAAGCCTGAAAAAATGGTATTAAAATTAGTCTTAGTGGACCAGATAAGTAAGGAATCACAGCTTTTATATGAAGTAGATCTTTTGTGCTGTGGATGACTGGCCTTCCAAACCAGGGATGTTCACTTTAGCCGTCACTCTGCCGTCACTCTTAGCTTTACTTTGGGAGATTGAATATGTTAGTTGTTGGCAGAGACCTCAATGTATAATTTTTTGAGGGCTGTAGAACTGGGATAGGGAGAAGGTGGGGTCATTAAACAAAGCAGAGACCAACACTGAAGCAAGCAATGTTCTTAGGTTGCAGCCCTTAACCCAGATTGAGGTTATTTATCTGAACAGACCGTCCTCCACTCCCAAAGGATGGACTCTACACTCAGTCTTAGCATTAGGCATAAAATAATAAATAGCCTTAGACCATAAAGAGATCTGTAGCTGTTGGAGTTGCTGATTGGAAAATGGGTTTAAAATATTTAATTACATGCTTGTCCCATTTATTGTTACATAATTGTTTATTGAGAAGCTTTTCTTTATCTTGATTTGTTTTCTTTTTGTTCCTTTTGGATTTGATAGATGACTCAGAAAGATATCACATTCGTTGCTGAATTTCTTACTGAACATTTCAATGAGGTAGGAAATTGGCATATCTATAGTGCTTTTTAAACAATAATTACAATAAATCTGGATAATGGTAAGAAGCAATCAAATTTAATCCAATTTAAGTGACCTTCTAGCCATTATGTATGCTTTTTCAACTATTGAACTAATTAATGGCAGTACTTATTTATTAAGTGTAAAGCATATAAATTGAACTTTCTGTTTGTGTCTTACCATCCACAAAAGAAAAGAGTAACTGCTACTAACAGCTTTCTTAAGAAATAGAGTTTTTGGTTTAAATATAAGATTTTTCTTTTTTCTTTAATGAGTTGACCTAAGAATTAAACTTTATTTATTCTTTCTAGGCTCCAGATCTTTATAATCGAAAAGGAAAATACTTTAACGTTGAAAAAGTTGGTCAGGTATGGGCTCTGGATTGAATCTAGTTACTAATTTTTTAATTTTTAAAAACTAATTTTAGAACATTAGCAGTGTTAGTCTTTATTATACAAAACTTTCTGAAAGTAGCATAATGCCAAATTATATAGTAGCCCTCTCTTTTTAGTAAAATACCAAAGAGCAGCTTTAAACTTTTGGAGGGTCTCTGAACCCTTTATATTATTGAAAACTCCCAGAGAGCTTTAATATGGGTTGTGTCTATGAATAGCATATATTGTTAGATATTAGAAATTAAACAGAAAAAGGAATTATTATTTCTTAATTAAAAAGAACAAACCCTCTTTTCATGACATGTTAATATAAATATTTTTAATGGAAAATAAATATTTAACAAAATTAAAGAGTGACATTGTTTTATATGGTTGCAAGTCTTGATGTATGGCTTAAGAGAAGGCAGCTACATTTGTTCTGTTGCGATATGTTGTTTGATTCAGAAAGCCTGGTTTTACACAGGTGTGTAGTTGGAAAGGCAGAAATATTTTAATAGCTTTTTAGAAAATTGTGAATATTCTTTGATACTGCACCACATTCTGACAAACAGTAGTATCCTAGGTTAGTTCTGGTGTGAAATCTAAATTGCAACAGTAGACGTTCCATATTATGATTCATTAAAATGTATTCATCTGCTTTTCATTTTGGAAGGATCTTGTTACTCTGTGCTTGATTTTGTAATATCATGTATTGATCTTTGGGAAAATACTGATTCACTGAATTACAGAGGTCTTCCATAGGCTGATACCTTTCTTTATATAGTATCTAAAAGTCAGATTTTGTTAATATCATTACCAATCTCATCAGACAATCTTTAAGTACTAAGAGGCTGTCCAGCACATAGTAGCAGATATGGGTTTTCCAAAATTTTAATTTTTGCTTGAATGTTTAAATTTTGTCACTGACAACAAATACTGTCAGTTATTTTGCTTAAAGTGACAGGATCACTTTCTTTAGTTTCAAGAAAATATCTGCCAAATACCCAAGAACGGATAATCATAGTTTGTCTGCCAGTCATTCTTTTGAATAAAAGTGGAATTCCAGGAGCAACAAAGACATGCCTAGCTTGACTCAAGTGCATTTTCATAAATGCTTTTCCTCATGATAACTGCCATGCTTTGGTATGCAGTGAAAGTGCTTTATTTGTTCTTCCAATTCTCTCTCTCAGAATATTAAAAAGATCTTGTTGAGATTTAATAATAATTTTAATAGCCTTATCAGAGATTAGTGAAACTGTATGTGGCAAAAAGGAATCCAGTGACTGCTAGCATGGTTTGATTCTTGGTGGCAGTGCCAGCAGTTGTCCCCACCTGTGCTTTTGACCACCAGGGCCGATGTCATTACAGTGGAAAAAGCAAATAATAGCTTTATACCATTATAGAAATAGTAATGACCTCATGGATTTTGGAAAGCATCTTGAAGACTCCCCAAGTGGTGTGGACCACACTTTGAGAATTACTGCCGTGGAGTAGACTGACAGTTGATAAACAGTTGAAAATTAATTTATAAACTTGAATATGTAAGTTTAAAGTATGTAAGGTTAAATGTTCTATTTTCTATGAAAACAGAACATGATACTTGAACTCAATTTATGGTCTCTGTGTCTGTTGCATTCTAATCTTTTAGTAGTCTGCAGTTTGTTCAGTAGCTTGGCATTTAGTAAATTTTGGTCATCTCACAGAATAATGTGGTTTCAGAGGACTTGATAGTAAAAATAACTTGAGTAGAATAGTGTTGAATATAAGCAATTTTAGAGCCTAATTCTTTGGTTTACAAAGCTGAAATGTCTAATTGTGTATTTCTAGTACTTGAAAGATGAAGATGATGATCTTGTGTCGCCCCCTAACACAGAGGGAAACCAGTGGTATGACTTTCTTCAGAACAGCAGCCACCTTAAAGGTATTTCATGAACCAAGCAGATTTGGGCCATGTTCTTATTTATTGGAGACCAGTGCCTCAGCAAGTGTACTTGCTGAATACTTATTTAAGTTCTTTGATTTATCTTTTTGTGTCCATTTTATTTGATTAGAGAAACAGGAAAATAATAACAATGTATGATATTACTGTGTTCAAAAACACTGTATGTTAACTGTGATGTAGTAAGATTTCTTATTTTAAGTATTGTCTGTTATAAAAAACAGGATATTGGGAAGAAAACTATAGAGCCTATCAGAGAAGTCTGTTTAAGTCAGTTCCAAGTTATTAGCTTTTAAGAGCATATGATGCTTTTAACTCCTATAATGATACATCACTGTATTCTTCTGAGGTGACTTTTTTTTTTTAACTTGTTATGCCTTTTGTTGTTGATACGGTAAAAGTTTATTAAGCCAACATTATTGGGGATGCAACACAAAATAGCAACCATTATGTATCAGAACTTCTACTTTTTAGATGAAAAGATGTTTAAAGCATCTATTTGTTTTCTCAAAGAGTAATTTGACCAAGGTTTAGCTGTTTCTTAGATCCTTGGGGTAATAGCCACCACATACGTGTATTATCTCCTTTAATCCTCACAAGAACCTAGAAGGTTATCTTCATTTTACTAAAGAGGAAACTGAAGGTTAGAGAACGCCCATGATGATAAGGGTAGTAACCAATAGAGCTAGGACTCTGCTAACTTGAGAGCCTGTGTTTTTAACTGTAGTCAGTAATAATCTCTGCTTCTTTCTGTTTGCTGTTTATCTGAATGAGGAGTGAGTGGGAGAAGCAGAGAAATCTCAGGCCCAGAACTTTGCTTGTTGCTCTTTTGATTTAACCCTAGAAGTCCACATTCTTTTTCAGAGCAGAACATGTTTTATATTGCTTGAGAGTCTTCATGATCACCAGAGAGGTGTATTGACATAAGTTAGTACTGAATGGAGGGAGAATAAAAGAACAGCTGACTCAGGTCATTTACTGTATTTAATCAGGATGCCCATGGAGAAGGGAAGGATGCCTGGGGAGGGCTGATAGCAGTGTGCGAGCAGTGATGGCGCCAGGACCCTGTCACTGTTGGGCCCATATCCATCCTGAGGACTTTGGAAAAAACTGGTCCTACCCTTTTCTCTCCCCACATCTTCTGTAGCTGAATAGAAAGGCCTAACCTTAGTTACAGGCCTCATATTTAACTTGAAATTAACTTCATCTCTTAAGATGTTAGAATGTGACTTCAGACCAGCTCATTAATCTCCCAGTTTCTTAGTAGAGTATGAAGTAGTACAGATTGTCGCCACAGAGCTTTTAAGAAACCCTTGATGAAACTTCTTCCTAGAACTTTGCAAAAATCAAGTGCTGAATACTTAATGTACATACCTTCCCGGGGGTGAGGTGAGAGAGTTGGAGTCACATGTGGGTGAAAGCGGGTGTGCTGGAAGCAGGGCTGCCTGGGCTGGGGGCCTGCCTTTCCCCTTGCTGCTGTGTGGCTGCGGGCACACTGCCTGACCTCTCTGTTCCCCAGCGTTCTCTTCTGCAAAGTGAGGTGGTCACAGTGCCTCCCTCAAAAGCGGTTGTGAAGATCCAATAAATTAATCTAAGTGGAGCACTTAGGATAGTGCCTGCCACATAGCACACAAGCAGTCCATGTGCATTTGAGGTGTTTTTACTCAAAACACTTCTGACACCAAAGTGAGAGGATTCTTTTCCTCCTGAGGTCATCTCTGATACCACCTGGGTGTCCCACACTTCCATTATGACGCTAACTGTAGAGTTAGCTCAGAAGAGTGCCCCCACTTCAGAGTTCAGTCACCAGTACTGGGTCCCCAGGTTACCCACATTTCTGTCCCACTTTGCTATAAATTTGAGGGTTCCCATAATTCAAGTTTAATCATTTGCTAAAATGGCTCACAACACTAAGAAACACTTGAATTACATTTACCAGTTTATTATGAAGGATGCAGTTCTGGAATAGCCAAGTAGAGAGGCACATGGGTGAGAGATGGAGTGGGGGAAGTGGAGCTTCCATCTCCTCTCTAGATGTACCCCCCACCCCCAGCCCCTTAATGCAGGCATCAACCCAGAGGCCCTAGCTCTGTCATCTAGAGGTTTTGTGGAGTTGTCATTATGTAGGTGTGGTTAGCTTACTGGCCACTGGTGACGCTTCATATTTTCCCTCCATTGTCCTTAGGATCCCACACTGTATTGAGTTGTGTTTTCTTAGTCGTCTCCAATCTATGATAGCTCCTCAAGTCTTTCCTTATCTTTTTATGACCTGATTTGATGAGTACTAGTCAGGTGTTTTTGGGGGCGGGGGCAGGTGCACAGTACTTCCCTGGTAGCTTATATGGTAAAGAATCTGCCTGCAATGCGGGAGACTTGGGTTCCATCCCAGGGTCAGGAAGACCCCCTGGGGAAGGGAATGGCAACCCACTCCAGTAACTTGCCTGGAGAATCTCATGGGCAGAGGAGCCTCTTGGGCTATAGTCCATGTGGTTGCAACTGAGCAACTAACACACAGTCATTTGTTTTATAGAATGTCTCTGGGTTTGGCTTGTTGATGTGTTCTCATTGTTAGAGGGACTCACTGCCGGCTGCTCTCTTCTGCCTGGTTGGGGGATGGGGCTGAAGGTTCCAAGCTTCTAATCAGGGCTTGGTCTTTATGTGACCAACCTGCATCCTGAAGCTACCTAGGGGCTCTTTAAAACATCGGATGCTCCTATCATAGTTATCACTCAGGAAATTCCGAAGGTTTTAAAGAGTTCTGTCCCAGGAACTGGCGACAGAGACCAAGTATCTTTCTGTGATACCAAAGCATCTGTCACCTGTTGGGAGCTTAAAATGTTAACATGATTAAAAACTCCTTTATCCAGCATAACTGGGGCAGGAGGTGCTATGTGGGAGGCCAGTAGAACACAGTGGAAGAGGGGCTTGGGAGTGGGACCTGGGCTTGATTTAGAGGTTTAGCTTCTTGGTCATTCTCACACTGGATGATTGCCCAAACCTCCTAGGCTTCATTTTTTTTTTTTTTAAAGCAGTAAAATAAAGAGTATGATACTTACTTTTTACAGCTGTTGTAAACAATAGAAATAACAGATATAGAAAGAATCTAACATACTTGGTGTCAGTAGTTGACAAATTATATATTACTTTCTACTGATAAAAGTAGCCTTTTCAGAAATGAAGAGCTTATTTTCATAGCACCAATTTCTTATCTCCTGTCTTTGTTTTCACCATCATACTCTCCCAAAATAATACTGGGTTGCTCTTGTTACACCATTGTGGCAAAGAAGAGGGAAGAGTGAACTTATTTCATTATATGTCTTCTGGTTCCCAAGTCATCCTTTTCTTCTTACAGCCAACAGAAGTATACTGTTGGAATTTGGGGGGAAAAATAAAAGAATAGTAAACTTCCAGGACTCAGCTTGTAGTAAGTGTGGTGGTTTTCAGTGGGCTGGCTGCCAAGGATGTTGCAAAGCCGGAGGCCTTGGTCGTTTTTAGTGAGTTTGTGTGAAGGTACAATAGCATGGCCAGGGAGAATTCCACCATCAGATAAGCTGTGTGGGCTGGCTCCAACAGTAGGTTAGTTTTGCCTAGCTATCTGGTTTGTTATAGCTTTTTGGTTTTTGTTTTTGTTTGAAACCAGAAAGTCCTTTGCTGTTTCCTTATTATCCTCGAAAATCATTGCATTTTGTGAAAAGGCGGATGGAGAACGTAATTGATCAGTGCTTGCAAAAGCCAGCGGTAAGTTTGAAAGAAATGCATGTTTTTGTATAGGAGCAAGAATATCTACAATATGTGGCTCATTTATGTAAATGATCATAATTATTAAGATGAACCATATGAAAATGTTGATACTCACCTGTTTTTGACTAACAGACGTGGCAGTTTCATATGATTCACCCTAATATTTCCTCTTACTGTTGGTTTCTTACATAAATTAAAAAATACATGGTTATTGAATATGTTGGCATCTTTAGTATTTTATTGGTCCCCAAAACAAACTTATTATAAATGATCTTAGTTACAGAGCTGATGTGTCTGTTAACTGCTGAAGGATGGATGATTGATGCTGTGAAACTTAGAAGAGATGGTTTTTCACCTGCCATCACTTATCTCCAAGGTCCTTTGGCGCTTAGAGTTTTCTCTCTTCTTTACTGTCATGACTGTCATTAAAATTTCTTGCATGAAGTTTTGGTGATGTAGATGATTTTTCACTGGACTTAAACAGTGATGATCAGTCACTTTCTGTGGAGTATTTATTTCTGTGTATGTACATGCTTTAATTATATTTTTAAATCTTATTTAGGATGTAATTGGAAAATCAATGAATCAAGCAGTGTGTATTCCATTATATAAAGATAGTAGAAGGTAATTCTGCTTACTTTTTGGGTGGTATAATTCAACAGCTGATTATAATTTTTCTTACCTTTCTTTTCTTTTGTTTTAGTGAGGACTCCACACGTAGACTATTCAAATTCCCTTTTCTGTAAGTGTGTGTTTCTTCCCTGTCTTCTGTGAAAAATGCAGTTTTGTTGTATAAATTGATAGCTAAATGTCATGTTTTGACATTAACGTTTTTCCTTAGGTGGAATAATAAAACCTCCAATCTACATTATCTTCTTTTTACTATTTTAGAAGATTCACTTTATAAAATGTGCATCTTAAGGAGACATACTGATATTTCCCAGTGAGTATTAATCTGAAGTTTGAATCAAAGAGATAAGATTCTAATATTTCTAATAATAAAACATACTGTTTCCCTCCCCTCCATTTCAGCTTTTAGTTAAGCTACTTTGACTTTAGACTTGCTAACTTAACTCTTCTAAGTCGTAGTTTTCACATTATTAAGGTGGGGTAATGCCAAATTCACTTCCCTGGTGGCTGAGACGGGAAAGCGTCTGTCTGCAATGCGGGAGACCTGGGTTCGATCCCTGGGCAGGGAAGATTCCCTGGAGAAGGAAATGGCAGCCCACTCCAGTACTCCTGCCTAGAAAATCCCATGGATGGAGTAGCCTGGTGCAGGCTACTGTCCATGGGGTCGCAAAGAGTCGGACACGACTGAGCGACTTCACTTTCACTTTCAATGCCAAATTAGGAAGCTGTGTAATCCCTTTTAATTTTATATTATTTAATTTTGTATTGGTATATAGCTATTACATACAGGGTTTTTTTAGGCTTAGGGAAAATATAACAGCAAAACAGTTGGTATTATATCTCGTGAACTTGCGGAACTTCAGAGTTGTATCTTGGCTTCCTTGTAGAAAGGATTTTTACCTCAGGTTTAGTATTCAGTTCAGTCTCTCAGTTGTGTCTGACACTTTTGACCCCATGGACTGCAGCATGCCAAGTTTAGCATACCTTTCATTAAACAAGAGGCCTTGCCTATAGAGACTTCTTTTGAGAATGCAAATAAAAGTTTTGAAAGATAATCATATTCAGAATGTCATTAGAATCTTAAATGGTTTTAAATTTAAACCAAAGGAAACTTTTTGAAACCAAGATGTAGCCCACAAGAAATAATTTGGGTCTGTGGCCATACCAGCCTAAACACACCCGATCTCGTCTGATCTTGGAAGCTAAGCAGCGTTGGGCCTGTTAGTACTTGGATGGAGAAATAATTTGGTTGTCCAAACATCCTCATTTTGTAAGGTATCTTGCTGCTTTGGTGAGATTTGGTGACTGTGAGATATTAGGTTTGTCTGTCAGGGATTTGCATTAGTTATCAGTATTCTAGAGTGAGTGTAATAGTATTTTGGTCTGGGGTTTGGTGATTATGTAAATATACTGACAGTCATTTTTTTTCAAGCATATATAGATTATTGCCTATCCAAGTTGTTCTACAAAGTCTCTCCCCACCCTTCTTCTTTCTTCAAGATCTGTAAGTAATGGACTAATTGCTGTTAAATTTGGGAGCTTCACATATGCCACAACTGAAAAAGTGAGAAGAAGGTAAATCTTGAGCCTTGTCTGGATGAGCTGTATATATAGTAAATACAAATATATGAATATGGTTAGACTCAGTTACAGTGATGATATTCTTAGGCCTTCATCACTTGCAACATAGGGGTGCTGGGTTGGTTATGTGTTTTATATTTAGAGGGTGATTTGACATACAGTTGAGAAGAACCTTACTGGCCTGCAGGAAGTTTTGTAGTATGGTTTCCTACAATGAATACTTCTGAAGTCTCTGTCCACTAAGAAAGTAATGTGGTTCCAGGGGGGCAAATGGCTAAAGGTCTTCTTAGGACCAACAGAGATGTGAGGTGGTGGTGTCCTTACTGCTCTGGGGTTTTCTTAGGTTAAGTGTAACAATACCAGTATCATCTGGAGGCTTTGCAAGAGAAAGAACGGACACTAATCCTAAACTTACCTTTTTCTTACTCTTTTCCTTACATAAAGGAAGTTCTTTGAAGTTGTATCTTTTCATATGTAAATCTTATTTTTACTTTTCATTCTAGATAACTTTGATTACCCAATATATTTATATGGTGTCATTCATAGAATTTCCAGAGGCTTAAGTCCTGACATTGATGTCAAGAATTTTCTGGAACTGTGAACCAACCTCACAGATTTTTCTTTTTCCATGATTTCCTACTTTCAGGGCCTATTTATATTTGTGAATAATCAGCACCATAGGTAACTGTGACTTTAGTGTAAACTAATGATATATTTTAAATGTTACTGTATAGAATGTCAACTTGACATTCCCATTGTCAGCCTTTGGTTTGGTACCAGTATAATGCTATATATATATAGTATTTTCTGTCATGGTAACACCTTTGGTATAATGGAACTTATTTAATTCTAGCACCTACAGTTGTTTAGATGCCCAGTTCTATGATGATGAAACAGTCACAGTAGTTCTTAAAGACACTGTAGGACGTGAAGGAAGAGACAGACTCTTGGTGCAGTTACCATTGTCTTCAGTATACAACAGTGAAGATTCTGCAGAATATCAGTTCACTGGGACTTACTCTGCAAGGTAACTTACATTAGTGAGATTGTCTTGCTGATAGAACAGTTAAATGTTCCTTTTTAAAAAATGTATATTGTACATTATTGTTCTTTAGGTATGATAAAGTCAACTGAGGAGAAATACTTCTATTTTTTTTATTAAAAAAAACTGGCTTCAACAGCTCTCTTGTCCTTTTGCTTTGTTAGTAAATCAAGAATTATTTGCCGGAAGAAGGTGGGGAATTATTTTGTGTGGAGAACAGCACTTCTGTTTTCAAGGATGACATTAGCCCTAGTTTGTAGTAGAATTATTTTAGATTTGTCTTTAGTATTTTCCTTTCAGAATTAGGACCTCAATAGCCACAGAATGGTTTCAAGGTCACTTCCAAGAGATAGCTTTAGATTGAGATTTAAGTAAGCAGATCTCTAATTTATTAATAAAATGAGTTCATTTACTTACCTTAAAAGTGAATCAAAAACCTCACTTTCTAAGGTTTCTGCTTTAATAAGATATTTGGTCCATTTGGAAGTGCAATGTTTTCATAGAATATAGTATCACAGCTTTTTTATACAGTAGCTGGGAGAATTATGTTGGAAATGGGAATATTGGTAGAAATCAAACCCTGATACCATCCCTAGTAACCGAGGGAGAAGAGCCCTGTTTCACTCCTGGGTTGGCTTTCTTCCCTCTCTAGGCTAGATGAGCAGCGTAGTGCTATTCCCACCCGTACCATGCACTTTGAGAAGCACTGGAGATTACTGGAAAGTATGAAAGCGCAGTATGTTGCTGGGAATGGTTTTCGAAAGGTGTCCTGTGTGGTAAGTGTTTATAAATTGTTACTAAGAGTAACAGAAGTGGCAGGATCTATAAGATTCTCTCAGTGCAAACATTCTGTGATGTAAAGCTTTCATTGATTATGAGCATGTAGTGCTCTTAGCTATTTAGTTCTCTTGTTCTGAGAAAGCTTACTAAGTAATTACTAACTGTTTTAGATTTTATTAATCTTGAAATTGTCACTGTATGTGGAGTACAGAATGAAAGCTGAGTTGAGTGATTCTGTTGTAAATTGATGGGAAAATAATTTTCCCATGAAGCTACTCTTCAGATTTCTGATTTTTAATATATAATATATTAAGCCATTTAAAATTTCTTTATTTGGCCTTTCCTTTAGTTAAGCTCCAATCTCCGTCATGTGAGAGTATTTGAAATGGACATAGATGATGAGTGGGAGCTTGATGAGTCTTCGGATGAAGAGGAGGAGGCTGGCAACAAGCCTGTAAAAATCAAGGAAGAGGTGCTGTCTGAGTCGGAAGCAGAGACCCAGCAAGCTGGGGCTGCCGCCTCAGCTCCAGAGATGGTTGTTAAAGTTGAAAAACTAGACCCCGAGCTAGACTCATGATCTGGCTTGCCTTTGTTTTATATGTTCTCATGTCAGGAAGGACACAGATGACGATCAGCGATGTGTTGGACACTTAATTTTCTTTACAAAATAAACAGTAGGTTTTGAGTTTTTTATTCTGTGTCTTCTCTCAGCGGTATAACCACTGTGAGAGGCTTTCTCCTTTTACCAAGACTTCTAATACTAGGTGCAGAACTAGTGTTAAAGAAAATGTAAATTGAATGTGAAGAAAAAGTTTAGTCTTTTCTGTCAAAAGGTAGTATCAGCAATCATCCCTATATCAGGAAGAAGTTACCTTTAGTCATTCATCATTGGAAGTTTTGACACATTTAGTACTTTTAAACTGCAGGCAACATTTATTTGTATTTTTCTAGCTTCCCTTTCTAGTTCATTTTAGAACTCCAGAATGCTTTCAGATTAATTTATTTTTTATTGAAGGATAATTGCCTTGCAGAATTTTGTTGTTTTCTGTCAAACCTCAACATGAATCACCCATAGGTATACATATATCCCTTCCCTTTTGAACCTCCCTCCCACCTCCCTCCCCATCCCACCCTCTAGGTTGATACAGAGTTTGAGTTTCCTGAGCCACACAGCAAATTCCCATTGGCTATCTATTTTACATATGGTAATGGAAGTTTCCATGTTACTGTTTCCATACATCTCACCCTCTCCTCCCCTCTCCCCATGTCCATAAGTCTATTCTCTATGTCTGCTTCTCCACTGCTGCCCTGTAAATAAATTCTTCAGTACCATTTTTCTAGATTCCATATATATATGCATTAGAATATGATATTTATCTTTCTCTTTCTGACTCACTTCACTCTGTATGGTAGGATCTAGGTTCATCTACCTCATTAGAACTGATTCAGATGTGTTCCTTTTTATGGCTGAGTAATATTCCATTGTGTATATTTACCACAAATTCTTCATCCATTCATCTGTTGATGAACATCTAGGTTGCTTCCATGTTCTAGCTCTTGTAAGTAGTGCTGCATGTGTCTTTTTCAATTTTGGGTTTGGATAGAGATGGTGTATTTAGAAAGGTGATTTTTAGTATAAAAGTGGTGACACTGTTTCAGAGGAGTGTTGATAGCAGAGGCCTTATTGGAGTGTGTATGAAATAGGTGTGAAGTGAGGAAGTGGAGACCACAGAAGCAGGCAAGTCTTGAAGAATTTTGCTGCAAGAGAGGAGAGAAAAGAGGCTGGGGACATGACCTCGGAGGCTTTTTTAAAACAGATGAATGCTCTGAAGGCATACTTACATTACCAGAGGAGTGATCCACAAGAGAGACATTGACCATTCTAGAGGAAGGCAGAAATATGTGAAAGTGAAACCCTCGAGAAGGCAAAGGGCCAAGACCCAACAGCCAGAGGAATGGTCAGCCTCGGGTTGGAGCGTGGTGTTCCTTCCATGCTCACGGGAGTGTGTGGGGACAGATCCTCGTGGCTGATGGAACTGTGGGTATGACAGTTTTCCCCAAGAGATACCGTCTCAGCAGAGAGATGAGGAGAGGAGACGTGTGAAATCCTTGACGTCAGAGGGAAAGGGACTTCACTGGGGAAGTGTTGGCATTGAAGGTCCGCTGGAGATTTGTATCATAAATCAATAACAAACCCAATTAATGGAATCATTTTCTCCTGCTGCTCAGATGTTGGGTGAATTAGGTGGAGCATTGGCTTTAATCTGGGGGTTGGGGTTTTGTCAAACCACTGCCAACAAGAAAGGGATGCGGGGCTTAGAGAAGGTAGTAACACCGTGACAGGGTCAGTGGGTTAGAAGGTGGAGGACTGTGGGGTTTTAGATTCAGAGGGATGGAGAGACGGGTCTGGTTGGCAGTGAGTGGTACAGAGGACAAGGGAACTGGGCCCATGGTGACTGCTGTTAGGGAAGGGGAAAATCACGGGCTCAGTAGGTCAAGAACTGAGTGCCTGGTGCTTTTGGATGACTCATCCATGTGGCTGTTCATGTAGCAAAAATGACAGCAAGCAGAAGGGAGAAAGTTACCCCGAGTAGGGTGCTTGCTGGGATCACCAGTGCAGGAGGAGGAGGAGCTGACAGCTCTTTGAAAAGCTGCCTGTGCTCAGGGCTTCGAGAGGCCCAGGGGCGGATCTGTGACTGAGGTCACTTAGAAAGTTGGGAGGAAGCGGGGAATTGGTCCCAGACAGACTGAGGCAAAGCTGGGCTCCCATGCCCAACACTGACCTCTGGAGATATCGAAGTAGAGCCCAGGGTTATAGAGGACCCAGTGCAAATAAAATTATGAAGCCAACTTGTGAGCACAGCAGTGTCTTCCAGTCCTGTATCAGCTATAGGTTGGCACTGCCTCCATCTGGGAGATATGATTAAAGGCCGTGATGTGGGGGAAGTCCTTAAAGCTGACTTGGCAGCTCTCCTCACTGGCTATGCGAAACAGGTGTTTGTTCCCCTGCCTGGTCCTATCTTAGCACAGCACTGGTCACAGAGATAATCCTGTGGGGTGAGGAGGCGACCCAATCCGATGGCCTGGGAGAGTGGACCGGAGTGAGCCCTGCTCAGAGGCCCAGGCAGGACCAGGGATGGGCAGGCACTGAAGTACCCTTCTTTCCCCTGGTGGGGGGTGCTCTCCTGGGTCATCTGAAGCATTACCGGGAGGGGAGCTACCCTGTTTGGGGGCTCTGGCTGTTTGAAAAACCAGGCAGTTCCCAGGCCCCTGGGAGATGGCACCGGGCTGCTTAGAAGACCCAGGAGGGCCTAGCCCCAGCTGGCCCATGGACCTCTGCATCTACCAAAGTGTACACAAAAATCCTGAGTGCTCAGGGCCGGGTGTTCCGGGGCCAGACCCGAGGCTGGTTGCAATCAGAGGGTCTACCTGCACCTGCTGCCGCCCATCCCCCTCCTGGTCTGTGTGCCTTTGGTTTTTCAAGGTTCTCCTGTGCAGAAGCCTGTCATGGAAGAGAAGTAGTGTGGGAGAGGCTTTATATACATTATCCCATATGGTTCTCTCTGAACAGCTCTGCGACAAAGGAATTGCTCTCCTTAGTTCACAGAAAAGAAAAATGTTCAGAGATGTTCCATGTATCCCAATTACACAGCTAGTCAATGTAACTGCCAGGATGCAAAACCCCAGGTAGCAATAATTGCTACAGCTGAGTACTTAGTAAGAGCCAGGTGCCATTCCAAGCACACTGCACAAATAACTCATTCAAGCCTCAGCCCAGTCCTGCAAGGTAAGTGCTATTATTAGCATCATCTCCATTTCACGGATGGAGCAACTGAGGCACAGGAAATGTTTTCTTGTTCACAGGAACCACAGAGGCTGCAGGGGCGGGATGGGGATGCCTGGTGCAGCTCCCTTGCTGTTAGCCGCGACACGGGCTGCCTTTCTGGGGCCTGTGTTGTTCCACCCCAACCCTTGCCCCTAACCACGCCCTGGCACAGTCTTCCTGCAGTGGCACAGCCGCCGTGGTGTCTGTATGGCGCGACTGACAGTGATGCCAAGGCTTCATTCTCAGAGCTCCGTCCTTCATAATCACCGTCCGCTCCGTGAGGAAACAGGCTGCGAGGGGAAGCGGTGCTGCTTTTCCTGCAGATTCGGGAGTATGTGGGGGGCCCCCAAATCCTGCGCCCCAAGGTCAGCGTAGTTTCCTCCAAGACAGCGCTGTCCACGCCTGCGACCATGGCCTCCCTCTGCCTCCTCAGCAGGCTCCTGTTTGTGTGTTCAGGACCCAGAGACAGAGCCGTGCTCTCCCCAGAAAGGTGACAGTGTTTCTGCTGTGGATGTTCTCCGTCTCATTCCCAGTGCATCAAAATATTTTGCATTTTGTTGGTCTACAGACTTCCAGTGGGTAAAGGCTTCCACGGAAGATGGGAAGCAGGTAAGAAGCAGAGATGATCTTCTGAATAAATACACGGGCCAGGCAGGGGGTGAATCTGCAGTTTGCAGCAGAGAAACCATTCAAAACACGGGATGCTTGGTGGTGAACACTGAGAGGGACTGTGTGACACTATGGAATACAGACCGGAAAACACACTTGGCCCGTTAGTTGTGGGCTAGGATCGATGATAATGCAGAGTTGAGAAAATAAGTTCCGTCTTATGTTTTTCCACAAAATAGCTCAGAGCATGACATGTTAATTATCCCATTTACTCATCCAACATGTAAAAGGGACTTGAGGAGACAGTCTTGGGATGGAGCAGGAACTGTAATAATGTATTTTCCATTTGAGAAACAGAAGTTGGAGGAACAGATTTGCAAATTGGCTCAGCAACTCAGTGAAAATGTGAGCCTTAGATCTCTCAAATGTCTAACCCAGTACTTTTCACTGCCCTTAGTTCCAAAATTAGTATAAGGGTCTGTTTATGTTTAAATGCAAGACTAATTTACAGCTAGTTTTGCTCTGGGCTGGCTGCACACTAGGTGTGTGACACATGCCACATGGTCCAGCACATTTCTGAAAGCCGGAGGGACGGATGATGGTTTGCTGCCAGAACGTGGTGAAGATGACAGTATACAAAATCACTGGTAAAGGAAATGAAGACATGTTTTATGGGTTGAAGCAGAACAGAGAGGAGTGGTGTGGCTCTAAGGGGAGAAGGGCGCAAAATGTGCCCACCTAGTTTGGAATAATAAAGACTTGCTACCCCTCTGTCGGTCCCAGGGTCCAGTTCAAATGCTTTTCCAAAGCCCTCACCATCCCAGCCCCAGGCTAGCTGTCATCTCTGCCTCGAATCCTCACCAAACCCACTGTGTTCCCTGAGCACCCAGCCCAGGAGAGGACCTGGACTAATCAATGCACAGGGTGTGAACTTGTCCAGCTGCCCCCACCCCAGAAAAAGGGAGCATTGTTAATTGCCCTTTGTACCAAGGAGGATGGAGAAGCCCAGAGAGGTTAGATAATTTGCCTAAGGTCACACAGCTGGTGAGGGAGGGGTCAGCCGAGTTTCCTATCACTAGTAGTACATCTCGGACATCAACCACTTCCTCCCTGTCTTGTGAACAACAAACCTTCCACTTCTGGTGGGCAAACGCCTCCCGGGCAGGGACCCCTGCTGCCTGCTGGTAAATCCTCACTAAGTATCTGTGCCCTACTGGAAGGCCTGCCCTTGAAATTGAGTCCAGCGCTTTGCGTCCTGTATGGGAAGCCACAGCGCCCCCTAGTGCCTGAGGAGTCTTAGCTTTAGCGCCAAGCTGGCCCGCACGGAAGGTTTCCCAGCGCCCTGGGCCGGGGCAGCAGGGCTGAGCCAGCCAAGGTAGGAGGGGCCGCTCCCGACCGCTGCCCCAAGCGGATTTCTGAGCCTGCCCTGTGGGAACGCCTCAATCCAGGACGCTCGGGCACCACACGGCCTTTCTGACTGATGCTGGGTCGCCAGGCAGCCCTCTGCCAGGCCCAGTGGCCTAGGAAGAGCATTTTAGAAAGGAAGATGTGTGGGAGGGTCCGCATCAGGAGACGGGGTTCCAGAGGTCGACGTGGCCTGCAAGTTGGCGGCTGGCCGGAAGGCCCTGCAGAGGGCAGCAGTTTGCTTGTCTGTGCTCTTCATGCTGGGCTGGTTTCCTGACTCGTGGGTCCCACACAGGCCTCGTGCTCTGAAGGGCCCAGGCTCAGTTTAATGCTGTGGAACTAACCACATGAGAACAAGCAAAGGCTGTTCTGAGCTTTCCTGAGCAACGGAGACAGTGTTGCCTTTCGGCAGAGACTAGAGAGCAGGCTGAAGGGCTGAGAATGCTTTAGAGTGAAGAAGAGGGAAGACTGCAGGCTTACGCTGACTGGAGGCAGTGGGACCCGGGAGGTGAAAGGAGGCCTAATAGAAACGGGACATCCTACGTGGCTGGGGAGGAGTGTGTATTTGGCCTTATCTGGTTGGTTCTGAATTGGAAGCAGGGACAGAAAGTAGGAAAGCTGTCGATCACTTCAGTTCAGTTCAGTTCAGTTGCTCAGTCATGTCTGACTCTTTGTGACCCCATGGACTGCAGTACACCAGGCCTCCCTGTCCATCACCAACTCCCGGAGTTTACTCAAACTCATATCCATTGAGTCAGTGATGCCATCCAACCATCTCATCCTCTGTTGTCCCCTTTTCCTCTTGCCTTCAATCTTTCCCAACATCAGGATCTAGTCCAATCAGTCAGTTCTTTGCATCAGGTGGCCAAAATATTGGCGTTTCAGCTTCAACATCAGTCCTTCCAATGAACATCCAGGACTGCTCTCCTTTAGGATAGACTGGTTGGATCTCCTCGCAGTCTAAGGGACTCTCAAGAGTCTTCTCCAACACCACAGTTCAAAAGCATCAAGTCTTCGGCGCTCAGCTTTCTTTATAGTTCCATTCTCACATCCATCCATGACTACTGAAAA